GGCACGGAGGGTGTCGCCTTGCTGGACGGTGTAAGTGTTCTCGCCACCGCCGCTGTTGTTGGAGCCTGACCAGCGGAAACTTCCGCCGTCGTTTTCCAGGATGCGGTTCAGGGAGATGGAAGAAGATTGGTAAGAGCCGTCTGCTCGGCGGCATTGGGCGTGGAGTGTGTAGTCGCCATGGGCATCGAGCCTGATATCGCGAGATGAATCAGAAAAGTTTCCGCCATAGTCTCCCGGGGTGCGCTGGTCGTTCGAGCGGTTGCCGGAACCTTGGTGGTGTTGGATTGGAGGAGGACCGCCATGTTGCTGTCCGTACTTTCGTCGGCGCTCCTCCTCCTCTTCATATCGCTTACGGTCTTCCTCTTCTTTCTTCTTCTCCTTGTGCTCGTCCCATTTGTCTTCTACCGCGTCTTGGCCTTTGTGTCCGGCGAATGCTCCCGCGAGCGCTCCGATGACGGTGCCTGCTACGCCGTGGCCAGCTTTTCCACCTAGAGCATGACCACCATATCCTCCTGCTGCCGCACCAGCAATACCACCCATGATACCGCGGTCACCCTCAGGGTCACCTTCGCCGCCATATTGATTCTGACTGATTGTAGGTGTGACAAGTCAGCGTGTGTCTCACATGTAATCCGCACATGTACACTTACTGGCCTTGGTTCAGGGAGTTGCGACCAGAGTTGGATGAGTGGGCTGCAGCAGAAGGAAGCTGCTGATACTGAGGAGGTGCCGCATCGTAACCTCCTTGTTGACCGTAGCCTTGAGGGCCTCCTTGACCACCGTAGTATTGGCTGGCTAGACCATGGTGAGATTGTTGTTGGTGAGGAGGAGGCTGCTGATATCCGCCGCTGCCATTATAGTCATTTTGTCCATAACCCCCCTGTTGTTGATAGCCTCCTTGCTGCCCGTATCCGCCGCCCTGGTTGTAGCCGGAGCCAGAACCGTCGTAGCTACCGTAGCCTGACATGATGTTCCCGTATGTGATAATGAACTTGGATCTCGTCGATTAGGTTACTCTAGGTAGAGTCGTATAGGTTGCACAGTCGAGTTGTTAATCAAGGTTTGATGGGAGAATATAAATAATAAAAGTTGTAGTCAAGGTTCTTACAGCTTTGTCATGTACTTCGGAGAGGCACAACCCTGTCGGCGCCGAAGTAGCACCTTCTTATTTATACACTCTGCCATGACACAAGGCATGTTGCGGTCGCACTTGTACAGCCACATGTCGTCACCGCCACTTTATGCCGTTGCGGCACCATTGTGGGGTTTTGAGTTGGCCGACTCCACTTCACCACGCGTTTCGACCAATCGCCGACGCGACACGGGTAAGTCGGCGGTCTGACCTGGTCGACTAAGCCACGAACACAGGAAGGAAGACAGCGATTACGTGGACCCTCAAACGATCGAAGTGGGGGAAGTGACGACTGGGTGGGCTTAGAGATGATGTAGAGGTGTCTAGAACGATATCAGCTACCCTGATCTACGGGCTTGGACCCTGGCTCAAGAACATCTCTTTTGCAAGATCAATAAACGCACAGTAGAATCGCACACGCAGGGCGAAAACAACGAGTGAGAACGGTAGAAGATGATGATGAACTTTCTTTGGTAGATGGCATACTGTACACAGAGCTACGCTAGAATGTCTAACAAAAACCCAGACAACGCTAACAAATGCATCGCTCATAAAACGCCGGATCAGAGTTTCAAAGAGAGACATGACAGGTATGAGACGAGGACATATGGACAAGAAGTAAATGATTATGAACAAATAGTTACAAGAAGTGAACAACGATGGAGGATAAGAAAGATAGTGTTTTAGTATAGATATATGGGTTGTCGGATCATGTACAATGAACCTGGGTGTGACATGCCCAGGGTGATCGAGCGTAGCGTCGTGCACGAGGTGGTGCGATGGATGGCAGGTGGTTCTGAAGAAGCAAGAAATGAATATAGCGGAACGTTGCCAACAATATCGTACAAGACTGGACTTCTCGGCCAAGGCCCTCTTAGTATGTGAAGGCCTCCTCGATGAAATCCACGCTACCTTGCGTAAGGAACGGTCTGACCGCATGCCTTACTCCATCAGCCATACCGCCTGACGCGCAAACCGTGACGGCCATAGCACCAACACGGTTCTTGACCTCATCTTCGATCAAGCTCGACACTTGCGGACGACCACTGTACATCTTGACAGTCTCACTGCTGCTCTCGACACGACCCTTGGGTCTTGAGATGAAGAGCTTGATGCGGAGACATTGCTTACGACCCTTCATGCGGAGGACCTCGTCCATCCAGGGTCGTACCCACTCCAGACAGTCAGATGTGGGGACTGTCCAGATGAGGACTATTCTTTGTGTGGCAGTAGTGCCGTTGTTGTAGCCGTTGACAAGGTGCTTTAGGTACATGACCTGGTGGGTGATGCCTACACCACCAGCGAAGAGCACCGCAGTGCCGTAGGAGTCCAGGCTGTGGTGGCCGCCATACGGACCTTCGATGAAACCGAAGGTGGTGAATTGCTCGTTGGGGCTCTTGCAGGCCTTCTCGTACATATGGCGGGTAAGTCCTGTACGAGCACGGCAGACAAGACTGATTTGCTTGGACTTTTGAGGTCGGCCATGGAGGGCGAGGACATCGCCTTCAAGCATGGGCAGTGTCATTTCTTTTGATTCGGGGGTGAGAGTAGCAGCCCAGGCAACCGAAAAGGGATGCGAAGACCACAAGGATAGGGCTGGCATCCACATGTGCACGTGACATCCTGGGCGGGGAGTCCATTCGCGAACCATGTTGATGGTCAGACGAACAGCTTCTCCGGGCATGGCCTCAACGGTGATTGATGATCGTTGCCTGACACCGAAGCCATAGTAGATGATCGAGGCCCATCGGCAGACCCACTCGGCACCCCAGAAGAAGAAGACCAGGTGCATCCATGGGACTTGGGGAAGGTGGTGCAGCTCCAAGTGCTTGTAGAGACCAAGAAGGGCGGCAATGACACAGAGACGGTGGATGTTGAGGAAGGTCTCGTAGAAGGCATGACGGAACGGCGACCATGCTTGAATACCAAGGAAGGTAAATGCTACGGTTCCTACCATACCCCAGCCGTATGAGCCTTCAGTGTGGAGAGCGGCTGTAACGGCAGGCCATCCTGCTGCGAGCTTGGTGTTGTACAACCAGGCAGCCGTGTGGACAATGGCCTCAGCGATGGTGATGCGTGCAGCCCAGCGGTGGAAGAGGTTGAAGTCATCGTAAGAGACTTGGAGAAGAGTGATGAGCGGGTTGTTGCGGAGGGCGAAGAGGATAGTGGGGATGAGGTTGAGGGCGGCAAGTGTTCCAGAGCGTCCACGGAGCGCAGCGAGGGTCTCCTTGTGGTCGAGCACCTTGTAAGGGAGAGCGACACACCAAGCTACGTTGAGGGCAACATAGATGACCAACATTATGGTGTGCCATCTGCCAGGGAGAGTTCCGTTGTCGATGGCGCTGCTAATCTGGAATTGGGCGTTGTGCTTCTTCTTCCATAGGGGTGCCATGAGGACATGTCTGTTGAGCCACGGCCACCAGCTTGTCCGGTTGACCTCCCAGTACTTTTGTTTTGAGTTTCCCATTGCGCTCAGATGACGGCTATGTTTCCACCACATGTTTGATATGCGTAGAAGAAGGAGAAGTCCAGAGATACCTACAAGGAGGTACAGGAATGTGTCTACCCACAGGTAGTTGCCGACTTGGTCTACACCCTCAAGACCGTACGAGTATTTGAGATCATCGAATTCGGCAGCATCCCAATTTGACAGAAAGTGGCGCTTGGCGAGTGGTGTGGTTGGCTGGGCGCCACGGAGGCGGAGGAGCCGTGTGAGAGACATGTCTCGGTAATTGTATTTGGGCTGTAGAGAGAGAGAGAGAGAGAGAGAGAGAGAGAGAGAGAGAGGTACAGGTCGCTTGTGAGTCGGTGCTCACAAAAGGATGCTAGCTGCAGGTTCTCGAAGATGCGAGGCTACGTGATGCGATGCGATGCGAACAGTGAATTGTTGCGCACTACCAGGTGCTTTCAGTGACGGGATTCTTGAAGCAGGAGAAATAGTGCGACGTCGTTGTCAATGGACCTATATCCCACGGGCGCTTTGCGAAGCGGCTGGTGTTGACAGTGTGGGGTAGGAATAGGCCGTGGTCACGGTGAATACATCACAATGTGTCGTGAAGTAGCCGGTGTGTATGCACAAGGATTGAGGAGAACCGACAGTGCGCTGCACGTCGAAGAGGATGAATTGGTGGTAGTGGTAGTGGGAGTGTTGAAAACGAGGCGCGGTCCAGTCCGGTGGAATTAGCTGACAATAGTGCGTAGGCGGCGAATTGGCGATGTGCGGTATCGATAATAGCGACAGTGAAGGCGAGTAGGGCCGAGGGTCTTGAGCAGCGACGTCAATAGACTTTGTCTTGACTGGGGAGGCTAGGCGTGGAAATAGGGGACGTGGAAACGGGCTCGTGGGATGTATGAGAAGCGAAAGTGTATGTGCTATGTTGCCGTAGCGAGTGAGCAACAAGTGGACAAGAAACGAAGGTATGGAATCGACACGACAAGGGACGGCGGAGCGTGAGGTCAGAGGGGGAGCGAGGGAAACAGTGGATATGAGGTTCGCAACATGGGAGGGTTGGTGAGGCCGATGCAGGGGTCGAGGAACGGAACAGGCGGCTGATTGGCTCCGCAGCGCTCGGCCGGCCTAGGCGCTGAAACGACACGAAGGAAGCTGTCCACTCATATTGCCGTGCCTGGATGCGCCATGAAACCAAGCCTCAGCTCACCGTCTGTCCACCGCCAACGGGAATGGCCGAGAGAGAGGCTGAGGCCATGGAGCATGTGACGAGTGCCGATTGCCGGGCTGCTCCACGCTGCATGATACGCTCTGGGATGTCGTGCGTACTGGCCCCGTCTCCCATCTCTTGCGCACCGAGTACAGTGCAGCTGCACCCTTCTCCTGCCATGATCCCGTCTCTCCGAGTCGACTCTTCCCTCACACAATTCACAAACCAGCCGCCCAATCTATTCCTGCCAATACGGTTGCACGCGCAAGGTCCATCCCAAGACTTGTGCGGCTCCAGAACTCCGGCGCCTAAAAGTAGACCGCCCAAAACAGAACAACAAGCGAGTCAACCTCATCAGCAACCTGGGGAAGATCGCTCGCATCGGTATTGGTAAAACGGCTTTCGCGCGCCTCTCATGCATCTTGTCCAGTTTGTCAGGCCGCCGAGGCAAAACCCATTCCTTGGGCCCGCCACGCGCTGTCCTGATGAAATCTCCACCTGCACTGTTGCGCGAACCGGACGAGGATGAAGAACCCTGTGAGTTGAGTCGGTCTCTGTCGGCATCCCTGAATCTGCGAGTTGAGCGTTCGATTCAACCGTCTTGTCATGTGTGCGTCGGGCGTTGGGTGAGTCTGGCAGGAAAAGCCATGTCAACTTCATGCGATGGCAGTAGCCGTGCCATGCCCTGGACTGCGCCACGCACACAAAGAAAACACGTGCACTGCCGCGGCTGCAGTAATGGCCGTCGTTGGACCAGGCGGTCTGCTGTCGCAACCTCCTGACTCCTAATCATTGACAATGCCCACGTTTACCATCATCCCATCGCTCTGTCCCAGTCTTGCAAACTCATCAATTCGCATTCCCACGACTCACTAAGCCCGCAGGTTGCGTTCGGAAATGACCTGCAACAATCCTCCCCCACGGCGACTCGCGACTCCCGTCCCTGTCGCGACTCAATTCTGACCCAAGGGAGACCCTACCGTCTTGAGAGATAAGATTGAAACTCCAAGACTCCAAGACATCGGTTACCCGGGTCTCGGTATCAGGCCCCTTGACGGCGAACTTGAGTTTGCCCAGTATTTTCTAGGCAATAAAACAGAAAGATTGGCTAATCATCTACACAACCCACCTTACATTACGGTCATGCCACCCTCAGAACATCGCTCACCCTACTGCCAATCTGCCATGTACATCTCCGACTTGGTGTTGCTTGCATGAGCCCCGCTTCTGTTGTTGCCCCTCTGTTCCTGTCGTGTTTCATACAAGCGATAGCTTCGGGAGAGAAAGCTCCTTCCGTCATCGCTCACGGCAGCTCGCGATAACGTCGAAACAATGCTTTTACGCCGTGTAGCAATGCGCCGCCCCGCAGGCTGTCAAACAATAGCGCCTGGTAAACGGCGTAACGCCCATCCGTCCAATCCTTCGCTTGCGCATAAACACCATACTATACCCACAACACACGAGAGGACAATCCAGTCGCAGGTTATAGGAAGTGAGGAAATTTCTTCACAATCTGATCGAGACCATCCACAGTAATTTGCAATCACCCAAAACGCCGAAACTTCCATCTGCATCGATAGCTGCGCGCCTCCGCCTTGGTGCGTATAGCGTCGCGCTTCGCCTTCGCACCTGCAGTGCTCAAAGTCCGGTTCCACGCCGTCATGACTCCAAGAAAGCTGAAAAGTAAAAGTGTAAACTAGTGCCTAGATCCATCTACTGCCTGCCCGAGAATATTACTCGAGCCGCTGCACGGTCGTTCTCATCTCGTACCCATATGATACCAAGCATTCTTCACGACCCGACCGACACTACAGCGGCACGCACTGTGTTGCAACGCAAGTATACCTGTAGCCTGTCTACATTTTCTATCCTCAGATCTCTCCGATCACGCGAGGCCGTTGCCACGTTACTTTTCCAAAACCGCCGTTCCCACAAGCGTACCAATCTATCGTATTCCTTCACCCCACCACATGCATGAACACCGAAAAACCGAAGCATCGATCGATGGACACCGGGTTTTTGTGCGACCCGAATACGAACCCACCTTTTAATCCTCACACAATTGACGCTCCTCAAAAGGACCGATAACACTTACCAACACATCACAACATCACCGTCGACGCTTCCAGAACGCATAAACGTGTACCCTGCTACCTGTTTCCTGTGAGTTCCCGTGTCAGAAAAGCTTGTGTTTGAAACGCTTTGATACTTTTCAGACACTATGTCATTTCGCTAAATGATGTACCTTGGGTTAGGACGCCACAGGCCACAACCATGGATTGGGTTGGAGCGTCTTAACATGAAACACGATAGCGACAAGACTCATCACATGAATGCGGTGAAGGGCTTGTTGGCTGTTGGTAGAACAGCCCAGGCTATAGAACAACCGTCTTGACTTTTCTCCTGGTAATATCTTCTTAGGTTCTCGCTCGTGTCATGATGGTTCGATTGTAATTCAATGGTAAGAAGGATTCGAGGAGATTTTGCATCAACGCAGATTATCCATAGAGACATTATTTGATTACCAAGTCTCTCTATTACGGCCGTATAGTATATTCCAAGTCAAATCATTCTTACCCGTCCACACAGTTCCCATACTGTTTGAGAAAACTATGCAGCTCTATCAGCGAGTCCGTAGGGCTAACTTCCATGTAGCGACTCTGCGAGTCACCAGCATGTGCCAACTCAAGAACTTTACATGTAACCCACCACATCTCCAAACCATGTTTGACGAAGCCCAACGACTTCTTACGCTCTGCCTCATGTTTTGTATGCAAAGTGTCCCAAAGCTCTTTCCAGCGCTTCGTTGCGCGAAGTAAGTCGCGATATGACGACGGCGTTAGAAGCGCAGCTCGCGATACGAAGATGATGGAATGCAGTGCTACAATTTGTATTAGCCCATATTTATGGTGCAGACAAGCGAATAGACGACATGACTTACCGAATACGCAGATCATAAGGTGCCTGAGCTCGAGTATGCTGAGAAGCGGATTCTTCTGCTCGTCCGACCAGTTCTCGCTCATCAGCAAAGCTACCAGCTGCTTGATACTAGGTATCTGCTTCGTTGGGCGCAATGGTTCTACGCACAACCGCCCGTACTCTTTTTGTGTCCAAGCATCGTAAAGCGCGTCATTGCACGGAAGTCGTTGGTAAATTTCTCCTATAGCCAGATTAGGAAGCAGATTGAAGAAGAATGTATTCATGTAATCCATGACGCACATGAAGTGTACGATCCTAAGGTGTTTAGTGCTGCAATTCATTTCTGGGTTTTTCGAATACACTGGTGGCTGATTTACCTTACTCTAGACTCTTCTGCGATGAATGTATCCCAGTCGGGCACCTCGTTTTGATGACTTGAATGGATCATTGGATCAAGCAACCCAAGGGACCGTATGGCAACGGTCAGCTCTGGGTGCCTTGAGACCCGAACCCTTCTGCGAACTGCCTCGCTATTGAAGCTACTTTGTAAAGCCACAATAAGTAAACCGGCTTGTACGCTTTCCATTGCATGAGCATCGCTATGTAGATCAGGTTTCGCTGCCACTATATGGCGCAGTTGCTCGAATATGAACTCTTCACCAAGATCAAAGAAGGCACGGCAGGACAATGCGCCATCCGTTGGAGAACAGTGAACCGATCCGCCAAAAACGACGGCAAGCAAAAGTGGCAGCGAGACACTATGCATATCGAACGTGGGCCAATGAAGAAGCGGTTGTTGTGGATGAAAGACCGTAAAGTAAGCCCACACACATTCCTCGAAGTTTTCAGCAGTGAAAACCGCTTTCGCGGCGTTCACTGGAAATTTGTCATCGCAACCAAGGTCAGCTGTTCGACGCGTCTTGCTGAACGAGAAGAGTTGAGAACAAAGCTCGTCAACCCTAGACTGAAGAATGGCAATTGGTTGAGACCTTCCTGATGCTGTTGGCGTCGAAGCACAAACATCCGCGCCAGTATCCATAAAGAGATCTGAGAAGATGCCAAAGAGTGCCATATCCCCTTCGAACAGTTGGTTGCTTGCATTAGAAGCTGTGTGGCTACCGAGAGGTTGTGCAGGTGTTCGTTCATCAGCGAAAGCATTGAGGATCGATTCGCGGCGAGGGTCCGAATAACGATACAGGAACATAATCGGATAGGGAAGGAGCCTCTGGGCGTCTTCTACCTGTATCGTGGTGTGACCATTCGCGTCACTGGCGTTGATGCCACAGGCGAACGGACCTGACATCTGCGCCTGAGAATCAGTTTTTCCCAGTCGAGGTGGTCGTCCTGGTCTTGCTGAGGCTATCGCGTCATTTTCTCCTCTTTGTTGACATGACTTTGAATGCCTTCTCAGGACATCACTGCGCAGGAGTTGACGTCAGTCTGCTTGAGGCTAACAAAGCTATACGAGACACGTACTGACGGATGAAGGTGTGATTGCAAAAGGCGCAAGCGTTTAAGCGATTGCGTGTATCTCACTGGTGTTAGGCATCAGATGGCTGATTCCAAGATAGTGAACATACGACTGGCTTCATGCCTCCGCAAGTGACTATTACTCGAGAAGAATTTTCTGCATGTAAGACATTGATGGGATGTGCCTCCAGCTCTTGGCTCGCGGCTATTTGACATTGGTTCGTTATTGGTGCCGCTCGTAGTGTGGGCTTTTCAGGGTTGGATGTGGGTTTTTGGTAACAAGGGAACGTGGGCTTTCCTCTCATGTGGGCTTTAATTGCGCCCGCCTTACCCTAAAGAGTAGGACACGTGATACATCATCAATCCTCTGCCCATATCATCTTGTACCAGGCAGTATGCTGCAGAAGCGAAACTACTTCCCTCCAATATTCTTGGTAGTCATGTCGAAGCTTCGAGAGTTTACAAGCTGCAAAATCCACTATGCGTTCTGTACATTCTCACTTTGTGAATCTCGAGTATATTGTACTGACATTGCCTAGCATACATCATAAGACCTCGTGTTTCAAATTACATATCCGGAGTCACAGAACATCGCAGACTCTCTAGCTGTTCTTCTCTTTCCGGAGATCTAAAAATTAATCGACAGCGCAAAGAAACTCTCCTTCCATCCACCAGTGTCAAACCCAGAGGCGTTGTCGAACATGTCCTGTAAGCAAAGCTCTCCAAACAGATGAAGTCTACTCGCTGACAATCTCAGGACAACTGCGGATCAGATACTCAATTGGGCGCGACAGAGCTCACTCCACCCATTAAGCTTCGGTCTAGCCTGCTGCGCTCTCGAAATGATGCACTGCTCGATGCCTCGCTACGACCAGGACCGACTAGGGATTATCTTTCGCGCGTCTCCTCGTCAGGCAGATGTAATGATTGTTGCTGGTACAGTCACCAACAAGATGGCTCCCGCTCTTCGGCAGTGCTATGACCAAATGCCCGAGCCACGATGGGTGATCAGCATGGGAAGTTGTGCAAACGGTGGTGGCTACTACCACTATAGCTATAGTGTGGTGAGGGGCGTAGACAGAATCGTTCCCGTGGACATATATGTTCCAGGTTGTCCGCCGACAGCTGAAGCATTATTATATGGCATCTTCCAGCTGCAGAAAAAGATTCGGCATACTAAGGTGACAAGGATGTGGTACCGGAAATAGCCGACTTGCTGTAGGGTAGGAAACGGTGGACATCTGAATTCCGCAAAAGTTATTGTGCTCAGTATTGTTCTCACTTCGATGTGCGGCACACACTATCGCTCTTTCCTTGTTACTCGTTGCTCCTTCCCTATACATCTGCATTGCGGTTGTGGCCTCATCACTCACCACTCAAGATCCGTTTGAGATACATTTCCACTTCCAGGTAGTTTTGCTTAACGAGCTATCCATTGACCGCTTCGTGTTTCTCATGTAGCAACTGCGGCATCTCGAAAACGCGTACAGCACGGACACCAGGCACATTGAAGGTCAGAATTAGAAGTAAGCGCAAGCTCTTTTAAAGATGCACATTCCCAAGCCCACAGAGCCCAGAATTCCTGACTATTACTTCGACTTGGGTGTGAATCGGTGTGCTACAGCAGCAGATGTGAAGAAGGCTTTCCACACGCTAGCGCGACGACATCACCCAGACAAGAAAGCGCCAGGCAAGACGATAGACGCCGTCGAGTTCAGACAGGTACGTGTACTTACCGACAAAGCTCTATGAAGTTGAATTGACGAATGGTAGGTACGAGAAGCGTTCGAAGTACTGAGAAATTCTACGGCACGAAGCGAGTATGATACACGATACCATGAAGTACAAGAAGAGTGGAATGAGTACCGCAGCAATATTGCTGAGTATGTGCTCCAAGAAGAACGAGAACGTCTTGGGGAAAGCCATAAACAAGCGCGTATACTAGAGGAAGAACAAAGACTCGCAGAAATGAGACAGCGTCAGGCAGAAGAAGCTCGTGCCAAAGTAGAGCGTACTGCTCAACAAGAGAAAGAACGACTCGCGGAAGAGCGATCACGTCAAGCAGCAGAGCGAGCACAAAAAGGACGAGAAAAGGTAGTCAAAGGACGCCTCCGCCAATAGAAAGAAGATCAGGAAGCTAAACTAAAGCAGCGTCGCAAACAGCTCCAAAAGAAGGCGGAGAAGAAGAAGATGATAGAGGAGAAGAAGAGGGTAGAGAAGAGGAAGAAGAGAGAGGAGAAGAAGGCGCAGAGGAAGGGGAAGAGCAAGTAAGTGTTGCAAGGCGTAAAGGATAACCAAGGCGGTCCGCATGCAGACATCACGCACGATCACAAAACGCGCAGTCGAAGATAATGGACACAGAGTTTAGTAATGACGTAGAATGTCCGACGAGGGCCCTACACTTACAATAATAGCAAGTCAACAAGCCAACTAGTCATGCCAGTCAAAAAACCCTAGTGTGCCGTGACTGTCGTAAATAAGATATAAAGTCCCATCCCAACACCGGGGGTATCTTTGAAGAATGAACTTTTCCCCATGCCCCAAAACACCTTTTTATCCCGTCTCGCCGTCCAGAGGTCCCTAATAAAACACATCCAAAGAAGAAAGAAAGGATAAAGTAAAAGAGGTTGGTAGAGTGAACTTTAACCAGTCCATCCCATGTCCCCACCTTGTTGCCCACCTTGTTGTCCCATCCTTTGGGCCTGCTGCTGCGCTTGCCGCATCATCATCATCTGGTTCATCTGCTGTGGGTTCATGCCCTGCATTCCTTGCATACCCTGCATGCCACCATTCATCTGTCCACCCTGCATACCCCCCATGCCTCCATTCATCTGTCCCATTTGCGCCATGTTCATGCCCTGACCCATGTTGCCCATATTACCCATGTTCATGCCCTGCATACCACCGCCTTGCATGCCGTTCATGGCGTTCATATTGCCCATCATGCCCTGAGGCAGTTGACCGCCGCTCGCCATGGCTTGCTGACGCATCTGCAGGAGTCGCGACTGATTGGCGGCTTGTTGACGTTGTTGTTGGAGCATCTGCTGGTACTGTTGCATTTGCATTGGGTTGGTCGGATTGCCGTTCTGCATACCGTTCTGCATGCCGTTCATCTGTCCACCATTCATCTGGTTGCCCATGCCGTTCTGCATGTTTTGTGCCATGGCAATTTGCTGCTGTTCACGCGCTTCTCGTTGCTTGATCTGTATTTCCATTTGATGGATCTGTTGCATAACTTGCTGAGGGATGTTCTGGCCGTAATTCTGCATAACCGACTGCTTGTGTTGCTGATACCGCTGCCGCATCTGCTGCAGGTTCATGTTAGCAAAGGCCATGCCTTGTGGAGGCATACCGTTTTGCTGCATGCCTCCCTGAGGTGACATGTTTTGCAAGGCCAATTGCTGTTGATTCTGCTGCTGCTGTTTCAGTTGGTTGAAATATTGCTGCGCAAGGTGATTGCGGTATGCTTGTGGATTTTGACCTGGAGGCACTCCTTGCGTCTGAATATGCTGGGCGGCCTTTTGGAATGCAATTTGTTGCATTTGTTGTTGTGGATTACCTGGTGATCCTCCTTGTTGCTGCATTTGCTGCATACGAAGTTGCTGCTGTAGGCGCTGCTGTTGCATCTGCTGCATCTGTTCGGGGGTCATATTCTGGCCAGGTTGAGGAGTCTGCATCATCATCGGTGTCTGCCCTTGCATTGCCATAGATGGGCTGCCCTGGTTCATGCGACTAGGAGTAGGCGTCATGTTGCGATTCGGCATCGAGGCGTTCATTACGGGCGTGCCCTGTACGATGTGCGGCGTGCCGGTGCGACTCAGGTTCTGCTGCTGACTGACGGAGCGCATCATATTTTGATGGTTAGAGACTGCAGACGGCGGTCGAGCAGGGCTGTTGATAGCTTGATTCGATGCTGTTGGAACCATTGGAGTGCCGCCCAAGTGTTGCGCAGACTGCCCCCCAACCAACGGCGAAGCTGCAGAGACAGCCATGGGCGTCTGCTGGCGTATGGTTGGTGAGAATTGAGATTGCGTAGCTGATTGGGGTGTCTGTGTAACCTGTATCGCTGCCGCATTGGACATCTGGTGCTGTGCTGCCGCAGCGGCTCGCGCGGCCTCGTTCTGTTGCTGGTTTTGCTGTAGTTGCGCCTGATGGGCTTGCTGACGAAGGGCTTGTTGCTGCTGTTGACGCTCCGCAAGCTCGGCTTGCTGCCTGTTCTCCATCTCCCTCTTTCTCTGGATCTCGGCCTCCATCTGTGCTGCACGCTTGGCCTGAGCAATTCGAGCATCTTCTTCCTTCTTCCTCCGGTCGGCTTCCTCGTGATTTGCGCGGATGTTAGCAATAGTCTTGAAGCGGGCGAAGGTCTGGGAATTCGCAGCAGCACGCACGGCGTTGTCGTCGTTGCCTGTAGCAGTGGCCGTCATGATGCTCTGGTACTCGTCGCCTGCCAACATGAAGCGCTGCATGTTCTGCGCTTCGGCCTCGTCGGCAGCCAATTCGGCGGTAGTCCTCTTACGAGTCTTGCGTGGAGGCGCGGGGTTCTTGTTGTTCGGATGTGTGATGGCATCCATGAGAGCGAGGGATTGGCCAAAGCTCTTGGTTGGTTCCAGGTAGAGGGGCGGGCATGTAGCGTTCAAAAACTCGGCCTCGAACTCGTGCACGTTGCTGTCGTCGAGGACCATTTTCTGGCGCTTCGGACTGGGCCCATTAGGAAAGGTGGGCGTTGAGGGTACTGCAGTCATTGGAGTCGGTGGCATGCCGCCAGCCCTGCCCTGGGCCTGCATTCTTTTGAGGGTGGCCATGTCAGGGACGGGCGTGGTGGCCAGAAGCTGTATGTCGGCCAGTTGCGACTGCGGAGTCGGAAACAGCACCACTGTCCTGACCTTGCCAATGCCAGGCTGCTTAGACAGGGCGCCGTTCTGACCGGGAGCGGGCATGTTCTCCTTGTCCTCTTTGGTCTCGTCGTCTTTGCTCTGTGCGTTAGGCTGGCCAGGCTTCGCATCGGGCTTGTTGACTGGGAACGGAGCGAAGGGGGAGGGCGTTATGAAGTTGTTGTAGTTGTGGATAGAGAAGGCGCTGGTGCCGGCCTCGCCCGTGCTGTTGGTATCATCTTTGGGCTTGACGCCGGCGGAGCGATAGTCGTGAACTTCGACGATGAGGCAGTTGTCGTACCAGGGCGTGTTGAACTCGTAGAGCTCCTCGACCATGTTGTGGGGCACCTCCTTGTCCTTGATGGCCTGCAGCAGCTCGCGCATGGGAGAGGCATAGGACAGCGTCTCCTGGGAGTCGTTCAAGCGGAAGTGCTTGGGGTGCAGGTAGACACGGAGCGACGGCGGCTTGCCCTTGTGCCTGGCCAGGATGTCTTGCTGCGTGTAGACTGCGCCGTGTGTTAGCAAGTGTACCCTTTTCTGCCGTGGCCCAGGCGACGTACCATATTTGCGGGCATCTTCGTGCTTCACGCCCTCGTCCTCCATGTTGGACTGGCGGGTCGTGGTGCGCGCGACGCCAGGGCGCTGTGACTCCCGGCGCAAACGGGGAGGCTGCGACGGGCGGGCAACAGCGACTGAGCCTGACATGCTCGTGGTGATGGAGCTCAAGCTCGTGAATCGACAGTGGGGCGGCTGTGGGACAGGCTCTCGGCCTGGGCAACTACGGGACAGAGGGCAGGCGCAAGTGTGCGCACGATGCCCGAGGTGCTGCTGGCAGTACGCGACGGGGAGTAGACTCGGGAGCGGTCGGGCGTCTGGTTGGAGATGTCTCGACGCGTCAAGATGGGCGACGTGATGTTTGCTGATCCGAGCTGATGCGCCGCTGCCTCCCTCGTACATGCGCCAAGGAACCCTGTCCTGTTCCATCATCGACCACGTGACCATCGCTTCCCCACGACTTTTTTACTTCATGTCACGTGAGCGACATCACGGGAGAGAAATAGGCGGGCAGGGAGATGATATGACCCCATGACATTCTTTCAGATTACTATGTACTTCTACCTTCAGTCCACTCCACGACGCAAAAGACAAAGAAGAGTTCACAGTACAAGGAAACAGTAGTGAGAGATGGAGCTATCGGAGAGTCATTTGTATTGAAATGCAGATATGCGACTGATTTATGGTGCATCATCAATCTTGCCATGGCATGACATAATTTGCTGCTCGGTTTGACAACACCGGATAATGACAAAAATGCAAGACGTGACTGATAGTAGTGTGGTTTGTTGGTTGATCCGAGTAATGGAACGAAGAATTCTCCATGTATATGTGAGTCATGCTAGCGTGTTCTTCAATTCATGGAACATCGCGTCTCTTCCTAACCACGCGTGTGCGACCTCACAGCGCGTACGCGAGCATTCAGAACCGAGCCTCGAGTACAAGCTGCCTAAACAATCATGATAATGTACCGAAGAACAAGATCCCTGCTCTTGCTATGAGGACGGCAACGCAAATAAACAGTACGCGAAACCACTCACCCAAGAGCACAGCTCTTGCAACCCAATCAGCCTATATCAGTTCCATCGATACTCTCTCAAACTAAAGTTTCCCACAAAAGACGACCAAAATCCAGGTCCTTGGTCATTGGTCCTTGGACGCACCTTAGCAGAAAAACCTGTGACGTTCAACGTCCCAAAACGCGAAACCACAGCGCCGGTACTTCGAGCCTTCCGGATACGCACGCCCTGTATGCATAACCGCATGTGCCGAGACTAACACGCGAGCCGTCTTATGCTACCGAGAGAAAAGGAGCAAAAAGAGTGTAAGAGGCGCTGTTGGTGGCTTGCTGTGCCGTGTAATGGGATTGCGGCGTAGGTCGCATAGGTGCGTTCGCGGCGCGGTGTCATGTTGTGTGCCGAGTCGCCCAACGACTCTTCTGGACATCAAAAGAGAACAGAGACGAAGGAGACATGTAAACGAGTTCAACAGGTGGTACACTGAATGGCGATGGCGTCGTGAGTCGTGAGTAAAGATCTACGATCTATCGTGCGTTAGTAGATTCCATGTTCGCCCCACTCAGCTGTCAAAACACGTCGAAACCGCACTGTAGGTTGATGTTCATACCGGGGGTCCTGCCAAACACGGCCTCTGATCCGCAGCACGTACTCTTGACGTACAATGTGTCAGGTCTCAGGATCGTCTTCTTTCCGGGAGGTCAATGTGTAGCTCATCGCATGAACGAAAGAAGTGGAGCAACGGCAAGCTCCCAAGCTTGTCTAGATCACCTGGCGTTTTAGGCGTCCAGTGTTCTGGCTGTTTTGGGTGCCATGACAAGTGAACATCAGATGGGGGGTACGTGACACTGTTGAGATAGCAGATGAAGAAAGGGACGCCGTGCCATTGAGGGTATTTCCGATCCGAAAGCAATCAAATCAATCTATGTAACAAGATGGACGAACCAGAAAAGAGAGAGAGAGAGAGAGAGAGGAATGGTAGATATTACCGTAATGAAGCCTTGCAAGACAGTTCAGAGATATTGGACTCTATTCCCGATCGGTACTAATGAGAGTATGAACAAAATGAAAGATCTAGCTCTGCCAGATCATGGACTGACATCGACGACGATGTCTCGTAGCGATCAATTTATGGCGATGGGAGCTTGCCTGCGAGCTCCACATAGCGCGGCCAGGTATTGGTGAAGACAAGGTACTTGATGCTTTCAAAAGCAGCATCGAAGACGTCTTCCGTGAATTCGCTCGGGACTATCGTCCGTGTGCTCGCCGTTGACGAGGATGTGATGCTGGAGTCGATACTCGCTGGTCGGCTCAAGGTATCCTCCCATGGGCAGACAACGTTCTCTCGAATGACCGGTGACTTGACATCATCAGGTGTCTGGCTGCGTGGCATATATGGATCGAATTCCACGTCTGCGAACATGACCTGTAGTGTCTTGAAAACCTTGTATTCGATGTTGATTGGTGCTTCTGCAGTGAAGGGGTTGACGAGCGTGTAGAAAAGCAAAGACGCTTCGTTGAACATCTGCCGCCGTTGAGAAGTGGTGACAACCTTCAGGCCACCCCATTTCTTCTTGAAGTTGCGCACCTCGCGCAGGAAGATGCAGTTCTCGGCGGTGAATTCACGGGCAGCAGCCCAGGCGATAAGAGGTTCAATACTATGCTGAATAGTAAACTCTAGCGACTGCATCGACGTCTTGGACTTCATCTCCTTGGTGAAAACCACGGTAGTCGATTTTTCGGACATGACCGAGTGATTGGAGGTAAGCGAGTCAGTTTCAGATATGGATGCTCGTCGATTGGGGCGGGCCCTCAATGCGTCTCGGAGTGGTATGACGATCAGAACTTGTTGGCAGACTACTAGTGACGGTATGAACCTATATAGCAGTGTTAGGATTGACGATAGAGTTCTCAAATGGACTACACTTACCATCCAGCTGGTGCGAAGAATTTGTTGATGTGCTGGACTTTGGACATGTCAGAGTACGTGAAGGCGATCCAGAGAGGCGTCCCAGGAAGGCTAATATTCGAGTTAGTCGTGTGAATAGTTCATGATACAGGCGCACATACCCAGCAATGATTGCGAGTCTCGTTTGCCAGGCCCAAGAGTGAACGTCCTTGATGTTACGGATCTTCCACAGTATCCAAGGTCCAACAATCATCGTCCAGAATAGCTGCACAAATATTGAAGGGATCCTACTTCAAAATCAATTGAATGGTTCAAAAGTCATAGTCGCTCAACATACCACTCGCCTCCTCTGCGGCACTCAAAGTAATTGGCCGGAACACCAAAGAAACCATAGGCATCATGGAAACGACGGGAGCCGAAAAACAACATGATGGCTGGTAGGAACTATGGCCGTTAGCTGTCTACAATTCGAGCCACCACAAATCATCACCTACCGAAAGCACTAATCCGACCAGAGTTCCAAAGTACACTTTTTTTGCCGCATCAAGATCGCGCCATGCTTCGTACAGGCCAAGAGGGGTGTAAGATATCCGCTTCCTGCGTGCACCCTCCAAAAAGTTGCGTGTCATCCGACGCTGGCTCTCATATGCTGTGAGCACTTTGGCATTGCAGGCTAAAAAAGACTTAGTATGTATCCATTGCTATATCGGCCCACCAGACTTACCTTGGAAGAATGCCATGCCAGACGGGAGAAATACTGACATAATCCAGAATTCGGCTGAGCACGGAAAGAGGCCATTCCAAGGGTAAACGAGCAGGACGAGGATGAGATAAATATGTAGCATAAGCACTGCTGCAAAGACGACCTTGAGATTTCTTATCTGCAAGCAAAAGGCTTCTCGACGTCGATGTAGGAAGAAGAGCTCCACACTCAGTATCAGTGTGTACACTATGGCAACGACGACATAGAAGATACCAAGAGCGTCGGTGTTGGGTTTTGTTGTGCCATCGAGTCTTCGTGGGCGCAAGAGAGGCGCCATGTTGACCATGCTGTGTGGATACCAAACGGATGTGATAGTTTCGATTGACAATCGATGAGGTATGAGGATTTGAATGTCAGGCTCTGCCTCTTACTTAACAAAACGAAAGTGGGGACGTGTAGCGGAAGGAATGGAGGCAGCTGGTACCGAGAAGACGGGACAGGTCATGCAAAGGGCACATAGGCGAAAGGAGTGGCACACGACTATTATGAAGGACGGGAAGACGTAAGAAGTATTAAGACTACCTCGCACATGGGCCAAGTCCAGCACAGAATACGACAGGGAGGGTTTAGCTGCGGCTTCGGTGGTCTAAGCGGCAAGGGATTGCTCGTTGTTAGATGGGTCAGATGGTATTTAGCCACCAGAGGCTAGTGATTGTTCCTGATGTGTAACGGGAAGAGAGCGCACCATCTGCAGGGAGAGACGCGTGAACGCTATGGCGGAGAGATGTGTCACGACGGCTACCATGGGAGCACAAGCTACTACCTTGCCAAACTGCGACCGCGGAGAGCAATCTGACGGCTGCCTTCAAACATACTGGTCGATATGCGATGCACGGATGCGTGAACGGTAAGAAGACGGCTGGGAACGTCGTGCGGTTGATCGTGTTCTGGTTCGTGCTGGATCGTCGCATCCGAGATCAGACATCGGAGGTTTCGGCACGACTGAACCTCCTAGGATCCCCCCAGGAACCACTCTTCATCACCACAACACCAGATCTTAGATTTTCTCGTCCAAATTTGAGTCAATAGGTACACACGTCGAATAGCGTTGTATTACGGCTCCCGTTCGCTGCAGCTCAAATGCGAATAGCGTTGCCCTGATCGTAATGGGTGCCGCGGTTGCGGGTACAGTGATGAGCTCGACATGCCCAGGGCACACTCCAGCGCTGCACCCGCCGAATTCTGCGACTATAGCAGTTGAAATATTGATGCAAACTGAGCTCATGTATACAGGAAGATCCATGTGGTACTGTGGTTTCAGTATCTCTTCGCACTTCTGTCCATTGACCGGCAGGAAGTCTGACATTCATGCGTTCTCTTATCCTGCGCAACTCTGAAAACATCGCTCTACGTCAGATCAATCTCAAACCTCCTGTCAGTCCCAAAGGTTTCATGTCAGTCTTCTAGAAGACTATTTGCACTCCTGTTGTCGATGCTTTAAGCTTGTCACCCGTACCTAAGTAGCTATCGATCGGACGTGACATCCTTTTCAGGATATATCAGCATCTTTTGGCTATGTAACAATCGGCGGAAACAACTCCGGGCCAAGAGCACGGCAAGACTGATCCACCAGAGCCACTTAGTGTGGGGAAACGTGTCGTGATACAAGCTGCCCAGTGTGGCTGTACCGTGGCGGTAGGGTCTTGATGCCTTCCGGCCGTGGATGTGTCGCGCCACCATAAAAGAGCTATGGTTTGATGAAGACAAAGACCACGCTCTCAGCAGTATGCCGAGAATTCATTCGCGGCTATCTGAACACTGTAACACTTGACCGAGTGATGACTAGCGTCTCATCCCGGATCCTGCGAACGTTGATCAGATATGAGGATGTTGTTAAGAGCTTGCGGATTGTGCAACACTAAACAACAATGAGTTCATGCGCGGACACATGGTTACATAAATCTGGGATTGTCTTTGAGTTTTGACTCACATCGTGGGGTGCTCGTAATCGCGAATCATTGCCGTAGCTGCTATCTAGTTTAACTGTAGTACTGCGATAACTTATAAGCAGCGACAAGCTAGTTACAACTTCTGGCATCTATGCACTTCTTACGCAAAAAGAGTCCTTTCAATAAAAACTATCGCAGATCCAAGTGACTCATCTTTGTACGGCCATTCTGATGAAGAAATTCATCTCACTATCACAAAAACTGAACCTGGACGTAATTTTTGGTCATGACGAAGTGCTTCACAAGCCCAAAGTATTTCGCATTTCCTGATGTAACAAATCGGACTAACAATGTAACGTGCAGACATGATGTTGCAGCATGTCGCTCCGCATGCCCCTGCATCTACCCGAAAATCCGGTTTCCGCTGCCGTTGATATGTGGCACTGTTAGGATATGTGGTAGAACTCCGATTTTGACCTCACTTCGCGGCCCTTCTAAACAGGTTTCATTGTGAGTGCCTAGGTGATTCGAGTGGAAGTGATACTCCATGTACTACACACGTCATATCAACACCTGTATCTTCGGCATTGATCTCTCTGCAAGGCGCGTTCATGTAGCGATCGAGTCGAATATGTTCGGGGGCAATGGAAGTTGACGGTTGGTGCTATAGAATGTTGGTATATGTGCATTGATCAGAATATACATCTGTCTGCAGATGCAAGGAGCGATATGGCGTTGTACTTAGTTTTTAGCGAAACACAAGTGTCGCTAGAGGTGACTGTTCGTACCATGTCTTTACTCAGTCACTTTCCCGCAGTTCATGTTGGATACAAAAATCAAGAAGAACGAGAAAGACATATTGAACTATGATCTCCTCAATGAGTCAGCTGTATATTGGAACACGTATAGGTATCTGGACTCGGCAAGCGTGATGGAGTGGAAGTGTAAGTGAACATCATGATGTCATAAGCAACGCGATTCAACTGCCGAGGTATCCGGTTGTTTGAATACATCCACCATGTCATCGAACGTAATGCAACGCCGCATCCTGGAGCAGATCATGGTCACCTCAAAGCTTAACATCTAGCGTCTAACATGTCGAGCCAGCAGCTCCATCTTGACGATTTTCCCTACTGCATTCGTAGATTCGCAACACGTTGCAATGGCACCAACAAAGCCTAAGAACATTGTAATCGTAGGGGGGTCGTTAGGTGGCCTTTTGACTGGCGTCGCATTGAAGCGCCTTCGCAAAGACCTCAATATTCGCATCTTTGAGCGTAATCCGACACCTCTTCTCCAGGACCAAGGTGCTGGTGTAGTGGCTGGACAAGATGTGCAGAAGTTCTTCAAAACGCACGACCGCAGCCAAACTACATTGACAGTTCCAAGTCATCAAAGGTTGTATCTTGATAAGGGTGGCAAGATTATAGACCGTCATGACCAAGAGCAGCGTATGACGAGCTGGGATTTGCTGTACCACCTTCTGCGAACCAACTACGATGGTAGCGAAACCGATTACGCGAAGACGCCCACAGCGGAGGGAGGCGAAGGAAAGACATCGTATGAATACGGATGTACGGTAACCAGTGTTGTGGTGCCAAATCATTCGCCGTCGTCGCTACTAGACTCCTCAGAGCCCGTCAAGGTCACTGTCCAGCACAAATCTGGGGAGACATTCACAACAGACGCAGACCTTGTCGTCGCAGCCGATGGACCCAGCTCCAAGATACGTGCCGAATACTTCCCCGATGTGAAGCGGAAGTATGCTGGATACGTAGCATGGCGCGGTACGGTACCCGAGACCGAGGTTTCTCAGGCTGCCACCGATGTCTTCGTCGAGAGGTTTACGTTCTACCACACCGAGGGCATACAGATATTAGCGTATACCATCCCAGGCAAGAATGGGACGATCAAGCCCGGCGAACGGCTGTTGAATTGGGTTTGGTATGTGAACTATAAAGAAGAGTCACTGGAGCACATTGAGCTCATGACAGACAACGAGGGAAAGAGGCACCACATTACACTACCTCCAGGTGGAATCAAGGAGGATGTATGGAGACGACAAAAGAACCTAGCGAATGAGAGTCTACCACCACAGTTCTCTGAGCTCGTCAACAAGACCAAGGTGCCGTTCATACAAACCATCACGGATGTCATCGCACCCTCTGCTTTGCTAGCAAACGGTAGAGTACTATTGCTGGGTGATGCGCTGGCAGGCTTTAGACCACACACAGCTGCGAGTACGAATCAGGCCGCTCTTGACGCTATGAAACTTGCTGGCGCTGTTGAAAAGATCATCGAAGGAGGGGGATTGGAAGAGCTTCAAAAATGGGAAGAAGAGGTGATGGAATATGGCAAAAAGATGCAAGGTCATGGTGTGCAGATGGGTAACCGGAGCCAGTTTGGCAAACATCCGATGCAAAGATGAAGACAACCTGCGACCTAGACCAAACAGCCTAGGTAACAATAGCTAGTACCCAATATCGTTCGCCTCTGTAGCTGATTGACTTACATTATTAGCAGCATAAATAGCCACGACAGTGCTTCGCTTCTTCTTTTGGTGTCCCTATGTTATCGTTTTCCTACATGTACCGTACCTGCTATTAACATATATTTCAGTCTTCCTCCGGTACACTTGATTCTCTTACTCCCTCGGATGATACTTCTACTTGAGTATCTTTGCTCAGCCATATTCACTCTACCACCTAGCAAGAGCTTCGCTCAGTACACATATAAGGCTGTTTGTGCCATTTCTCCTTCAGCCTTCTCTGCTATATTTAACATTGCATACACCCACATATCGTCCAGTCCTTTGCCTCATTGACAGCCTTTGACGTTCCTAAATCTTGAATGAGCCACTCAAGTCGCCTGATCGCTTGGATTGCCAAAACGTTCTTGGGATTAATGAACGCGCACATTTTTGTGAGAAAGCACAACCTTCTAAGAGACTGCAATTCGCTCACTATTCGGAAAGTAAGCGGGCTGACTCACAGGAAGTACTAAAAGCCTTCAGAATGTAAGCATTCTTACATTCTTAATCAGAGCTTACATGACTATAATCTAATTATTGGATCGAAATTGCTTGGGACGCACTTAAGAGTAATAAAGAATGATTCAAATATAACAGAAGCCACGATCAGTTACCGACCAAGTAGAATCTTTACCAACTCAGATTGATAGGACGGGACACTGGACAATAAGAAACTGTAGAGCACACAGCAAGGATAGTGAAAAAGGCACAAGGTGATGCTAAAGAAGTGGCAAACCTATAGTAGAAACTGAAGGAACGGCACGAGGAATCTAGTGGAAGACATGCAGAACGAGTCAAAGCCATAGAAGCACCTCGAAAAGGGGAATTGGGATAGAGAGCCACGATCGAACAACGAAGTATAGAAGTAAGACGTGTGCGTTAACACTTCAACAAGCAACAGTAGAAGATATGCATGAAGGCACAGAGGCAGGAACAAGTCCAGATAAAAGCAATGTGAAAGTAAATCCCAGAATCAGCTTAACACAAGCAAGATAGAAGCATCGTCACAATAAGGTCCAAAGAAGGATCACATGCTAAGAGAATGCCAATTGCTCAAACGGGGCCAGGTACGAGAACAATCGCAGAAAATTAGGTATGCGAACGCCCCGGCCGTTAAAAAGCGACTTTTTCCAGCAGCAAAGAGAGGAAGAGCAGTGGCCAAAGGTATGACACGTATACGAATGCGACGTTCTTCTAATTGCCTAAAAACTTTAGAGCAAAGCGCAGCTAACAGTTACGAAGTTTTCAGTCGCCCAAGCGGCGAGGTCAAGACGATATTGACAGTCAAGCTTGAAAGCGTCCTAAACAGGAGAGTGTTATCCTAACTACTCTACAGCAGCATGTGGCACGCGAACACGCTCGATGTAAACATAACTAGACTCTTGCAGGTGAATATTGTATGAAATGGATCCCATCTGAAGGTCGAGATCACTGATTTGGGTTGGTTACACGAAAAGTAGCAGGGCGAATTATGTTCTCATAGTAGCAGATAAACATCTGCGGCATCATTCGACCTATGGAAATTTTTCAAAGGGTGAGCCTTTACGTTGCCAACTATGCTTTGTGGCTCTAAGCACATTTGGTGCATAAACCGGATGTGGGAAGTTTTAGACGTCACAGATTATGAATCGAGCGAGTAACAGTGCTTTGCAAGTCTCACCGCACTGAAAATCACCCAATGATGGTTCTTGTTTCATTACTCTCATGCATTTTCTCAAAAGTGATACCCGGACTACTTCAGTCTATCCTTACATGTGCGGCAATAAAGCATCAAGTACCTTCAGGCTGAAGAAGGATCTCGAAGAAAACACAGTGTAATTCTAAAATGCTATTTACACCCCATCAATGCTCTAAATACACCGTATCGAAGGCCCTAACTAGCGAACAAAAGAAAGAAGTATGCAGTAGATGAGAAGTCAAGCCTAATCTATTCGCTCATGAGACTCTGACCCCAGAATCTGTACCATGATCTAGTACTCAAGGTCCTTCGCATGGCGCTTGGAGAGCTTGTTGAGGGCAGGTCCAGGAGTAGGGTAGCTGTCGAAAGACCTGAAGACATTGAACTGAATACCAGCGTCGTTCGCCTATATCGTTTCATTAGCAGATATTTTACAGAACAGGTATAATTTGAGCAGCGTATCTTACCTTGTAGAAGCTAGTAGCGGGAACACCACCGCTCAACTTCGTAGTTCCAGAGCCCTCAACCTTAACTAGATGCAGGCGTGCGAAGTTAGCTTATGTCTCACATGCAGTCCATACAGGGACACTTACGGTTGATGCACTGAGGGTAAGCCTGGGCGCCATTGGCTTGACCGGCAGCGTGCAGCGCGATGATCTCGTGGCGAACAACGTAGTTGCCAGGCGCAAGGTTAGGAATAGTAAGATCCCAGGAAAAGTTGTTCTTAATAAGATCATCAGTAGCCCAGGTACCGGGGTTGCTTCCTGACTTCCAGGCACTGGATTGGATCTTTGTCCACTGGAGGCTTGTGGGGCTGACAGAGCCACAGTCGCCATTGCAGGCCGCGATATATTCTTGAATTGGGCCAACATGGCTAGCTGGCCAGGTGTCCCACTTGAAAGTGACTTTGCTGCCGGGCTTTACAGAAACGTAGGCGCCATTACTCTTGCCTTGCTTGTGGCATACGATGGACGCAGTGCCAAAACTGTCAGGGGAGACGAAGCCGTTGTCGAGGTTGTCCGCTTGCCAGCCGACGGTGGCCGGGATGGGGTTCTGGTACTTGAGCGCAGCATTCCAGCCTAATCAGACATACAAAATCAGCGTATGTCTCACAAGTATCTCGCACATGGGGCTTTCTACCTTGGTATTCCTTGCCGTCTGCGATGACCTTGTCAACATGGCCGTGGGCAGCCGCAAGGGGCGCAAGAAGGAGGAGAAGGGAGAGCATCTTGGTGATTGTAGAATGAATGGATTGTAGAAAGCGACTGTAGAAGATGCGTAGTAACTGTTTGCTGTAGTGAGAGGCCTTGAACCCGGATCTATCGTCCCTTCATATACTCTTCTTGTCTTCTAGTGGCCTTCTCCAAACGCCAGAAATCTCCCTCTACCAGGTACTCGCGAATGCTTGCAATCAATTTTTCATCTCCATGCACGAGTTGACCCGGTTTCTGAGCTGTACGCCATCCGCTCATGGAAACGCGCCCTGGTCGCCGCGCTCTTGGATCATTGGAAGCCCAGAAGTGTTTCCAGTCTGGTGACGGCGTGAAACCAATGCGATAGGCCACTGGGGTTGAAATGACACTGAATTTAATATACCAGACGCAGCCTCGCCCGGGAACTGGTGATGGGTAATATATTATCGGCTACGGCCATTGCCGCTTTCCAGGCAATCACCAACCACGTGCTGGTTTCAGCCACGACGTTATGGTACTTTGTACACTTGGACTCTGGGCGATGTGGATCGCTCGGTGCATTGATGGGTCTGGACATGTAAACCCTCGTTCTCGTAGGAAATTTGCGTGCTCGAGCATTTGCTGTTGCCTCGCGTGGACATGCGGTAATCCAGCGGTTAACGAAATACAATACCGATGTATGGCAATCACTGGAGCCCTACAGCTGCCGACATGCAGTGGAACAGTTACCCCACGGGCTGGTGGACATACTCGCAGCATAGCTGCATGTGTTGCTGCATTTGAATCGATTATATCCGGTGGCGTAGGAAACCTTAATACGGCTAATCAAGATAGATTGAATACGGACCGTAGAACCGAACTCCTACCTAGTAGCGATGATTCATTACCACAAGGCTGGAAATGCGTACAACTGAAACATCTTAGCATGTACAAGAGCGCGTGTCGTTCATGGAAGGGCTGGTACAAATGTCCAGTGCAGCCCCAACCTAATGCGCTTGAGACTTCAGGCTTTTTTGCCTTCCATTGTTGTTCGAAGGTTGTCCCTACTGGATGCTGGACTTGGAGACCTGGAATTTGTGTTGCAAGATGTTCGTCGTCCGCCAGGTCTAGAGAGGTTCTCACTTAGAGTACGCCTAGCGATAGTGGAGGAAACCTTGGAAGCCTAAGAATTTGCAAGACACAAGACAACAGCAAACTTTATTGAGCAGAGCTCACTTCAACCGTCTCTTCGAGCGACAGGACATGGAAATAGAACGGATATTTCTCCTACACTTGACAAACTCCGAAGGAAATTGCACTCTTCATGGAACCTTTTTTTTAAAGGAGTGTCACATGATATGGCGGGTTGTTGCTGAAGACTATTAGATGGCGTCATAGAAGGGAGACCTGGGCAGTCGGGTTCAGGCTCAGGAGGATTGTGGGAGCCCAGGATGCTGAGACGACGTGCTAAATTTGTCGCACTGCCGGACCTGACGATCTGCGAACGATGCGCATCTTTCAGGAACAAAAATTTGCGTCATTGAGTGTCGCATCTTCATATAAGAGTCTGATATCCTCGCTGTTGACCTCAGAAGGTGGGGAATCTAGTGCTCGGCAAGCCTTGAGGGTGCGGGTGACGCGTCATCTAAGCTGAGTGAGACCGCAGCAACACCACAGGTCTCCCCAGCGAACACCGCCCTCTACAGCCCCGACAATACAGAAATACTCGCATCAAGATTGCGCCCAGGTAAAAGGAAATGTCGGAGGTGCTACCGCGCGCATGCCTGAGGAATTCGAAGAGTCCAAGAGTTGGGCCAAGTCAGGAGGTCCGAAACTTCTGGCCAACATAGCCCCTCCGGACTGTCCGGGAACAACACTTCCACGCGTGTCTACGCAACGGATAGGCTGGGGTGTTACGCGTTTCTGAGGGCCAACAAGGCCTTGGATCTGGTCGGTAGGTGGGGTAACTGTCTGTCCGAGCACGTGAAACTGTAATACAGCCAATAGCATGGTGAAAGGGTCGTATTCTCCTAGCAACCGATTGGGTCGAGGTTCGCAGCAAATGCACGATCTGTCAGACTTGCGGTTCCCGAAAGGATAACTGCAACAGTATATAGGTTAGTGATCGGGTCACGCAGGGTCTCGCAACTCGGTGTTTGTGGAACGCTGTCACATCACACCATACAGTCTTGTCGTCGTCAGCACACCAATACCCATTCTCTCGGTCTTTTTCTTGTCACTCTCTCAGCTTCCGGAACCTCCGCGCATCAGGCTTACTCTCTGCCTTAGCTTTATTGATCGTGAGTGTGTCACAGCAGCATACACACTCTCCCACCCTTTACCACTCGCTCTCGTCACACAAACACTTGTATCACAACATATACTCCCTCTCCTCACAACCAAGATGTATCTCCAGAAAAGGGACGGCAACATGGGCTTCGACATCGCCCCAGCTTTGATCATTTTCCTTGTCATTCTCGGAGCAGGCGCGCTCGTTTGCTGTGGCTTTGCCGTCGCTAGATTTATGGGTGGAGAACCTGAAGATGAGTCAAGCCGTTTCCATCGGTCTCCAGAACAGGATTCGTACATGAGAGAAGTACGAGAACGAAGCTGGCGCAAGCTTCCGCAGCTTGGAATGCCAAAACCCTACTACCAATCGCATGGTGGTAATATGGCTCACGCACCAATGAGTCCAAGGTAAGATGGAATAGTCATCCTTACACAATAACCTTCCTGAGGCTGACTCGAACAGTGGCAGCAACACTACTTACGGATGAGCAAAGGTGCGATCCTCCAAGCTCGCTAAGGCGAATAACAGAATAAGCTGTGATATACGAGGGTCTTGCCAAGGACCCCACAACACAGCAACCGACGACACGACACGACACGATGTAATGAACGAGAGGCATAATCTGCAGGTACACGGGGTCAAGTCTCACGAGAGGAAGTCGGCTTTGAAGTGAAAGGCGTGGAACGTTGATCGAAATATCACCCTTTCCCGGACTGGTGGAATCTGTTCGTCGAACTACTCTTACCTCACATTCTACATCACACGACCGAAGTGGTATGAATGTGGAGTTCTCGATCGAAAAGAGCCTATGTTTAATTCGCAACCAAGATGCCTTTAGGATCCTGGAAGACGGATTGATTCGGGATAGACAGCGATAGATCTGGGGTTGGAGTTCTGGTGTACGGTCTCCACAGGAGTGGCTATTGAGTCTTGCAGGATTTTCTAGTCCAATTCATTTGCAGTAGCATGTCAGGCAACTTAGCGCAAACCTTTCCTATACGTCAAATGCTTTTGTCGTTATTATGTTCATATCTAGCAGTCAAGGCATAGACCACAATATTGTCTTAGCAACTAGGATCAAAAGATTTGAGATCAGTAACCATGAATTCACACGCTAATCAAGCGGCAAAATAACACTAAAGGGTCAGCATGAGACGCCACTTATCACTAATGTCTAGAAAGGATGTCTCATTCTGTCTTGATGAGGCCGAGTCATATTCATTGAGTCTCGAGGTTATTGCAGAAAACTATTGCGAGCCAACGAATAAGATATGCGAAGGAGCAGGATATGCCAACACTAAATTGGATCTAGCTCACAAATCATCTAGAAACTGCTTGTAGTTATCTTGCAGCTTGTTATGCGCACCTAAGGCAAGACCGGCGTCCAACTGCGTTCGACAACAGTTCGCGAGAGTTCGTTCTGCACATGATCCCAGTAAGAGGACAAGCACCCCACGTGTAGAGTGGGTCATTCTACCGTGCCGACGGTTTAGTCCTGTAGCGTTTGCGGCGTAGTGATGGACGCGTCGTATCTGAAGAAAGACTTCTTTCTCGAAAAGAACTTTCTTTTATGATCTTTGTCAAAGGCGGAATCTCGGGGCTGTACCGGACTGAAGATACAGAAGCTGCATGAGGCATTATGTTCCCGGCAGTTTCCGAAATGCAGCCGGTGTTCTTCATACTGGTTGAGGCAGTCAGCACACCATCGTGCCTCCTGGTATCTCCAACTCATGACGATCGGCGCGCCGCCTTGCAGAGAAAGCTGAAGTAGGCGGGGACGCAGCAATATGGTTATGTTGAATCGACGTTGCTCACCATCCACACAATCCAGCCACAAGACCAGATGTCTGTGTCGCTGTCAACTTTTAGGCGGTGACCATGATGGATGATATACGGGGAAGCGGAGAATTCTAACGAGGCTCGTGACAGAAAGCGTTCTTCGTTTAATGCCGGGGCCGGGGCCGCTAACCCATTGTGGGTTATGACCATAAAGCTACTCCATGGATCTATGCTGTCGAAAGTCACTAATCGTCATCGGGACTCACCGAAAATGTTCCTTGTGTATCTACCTTGGGCAAACTCAGGTACGTACACAAAGTGATGCTGTGCGTCTTTGTTCGGCGCCTTGGTGCCTAGGTGAGGTGCGTACCGCGTGCCATCCCCGCAGATCGTCAAAGCTTGATGCTCAACCACAGCCATGACAGCGCAAGATGTCGGCACTTCTCTCATTTGAGTCAGTTGACAGACTTTGTACACAACCATCCGCAGACTGGTTACTACCTTCTTCTTCTGAATACCAATTTCCAGCCCGCTGACCGTTCGGCCCGGTTCACGAGCAAAATGACGTCGACGTGCTTTCTACCCCATGGGTCCATCGAATAGCTTCAGTGAACGTTACATCCGTCGCCAAGCTATCTTGTTTGCTCGTGAGATCCATAAGCGGGGTACATTTATTCGGAACAAAAAGCAGCGAATGCAGCAAAGGCAGCCGGCGACCATGACGATCCATGTGTGCCGTCATAGCCCCGAGAATATACTCTGGGGCCTTCCTCGCGATACCTCATGTCTTCAGTACTTCCTTTTGATATCCCGAGATTGGCTTGCTACCCTACGTCAAGATGCGCAGCCTCATGGTTCTGAGTGCACTCACAAACATACCATTGCTCGTCTCAGCGCAATGTCCAGAATACGTGGACTACGCACTCGAGGTTCATGAACCTTTGAGCTCCGGCAAATATCAGCTTGCCTACCAACGACCGTCCGAAGAATGTCGGACTTTCAAGTCGCAGGGCCTTGAGGACACCATCACACGCATGGAAGGTGTCATCAAAGACCCAGACCTGTACCGTCTGTTCCAAAATGCCTACCCCAACACGCTCGATACAGCAATCGCATGGAAGGGTTATGCAGCCAACAACACCGATGAAGAGTTGACATTCATCATCACAGGAGACATCAATGCGATGTGGCTGCGGGACTCGTCGAATCAGCTGCAAAGTTATTTGCCCCTCTTGAACGCCAGCAGCGATCCGAACTCGATCGCCAGCTTGTACCGGGGAGTCATCAACCTCCAGGCGCGATACCTACTCACAGCACCGTACTGCAACTCGTTCCAGCCGCCCGCCGAAAGCGGTATCCCTCCAGCTGAGAACGAGTCTGGAAACCAGGACATTGTTTTCCCTGAATATTCAAACAGCAGCGTTTTTGAATGCAAATATGAGCTCGATTCGCTTGCTGCCTTTCTACAGATATCTGCCGACTACTACGAAGCAACGGGAGATGTCGAGTTCTTTGGAAAGTTCCAGTGGGCCAAAGCTATCGAAGCGGTACTAGATGTGGCCGACGATATGATGCTTCCAACTTATGGTCCCGACGGAGCGGTTTTACAAAGCCCGTATACGTGGGAGCGAACCACGACCAGAGCAACCGAAACTCTTGCGAACGATGGAATCGGCAATCCAGTTGCCAACGGAACTGGCCTGATCAGAAGTGCTTTCCGACCAAGCGACGACTCCACTATCTTCCAGCTCTACATCCCAGCCAATATGATGTTTAGCTCGTACCTGGCTCCAACAGCGGAAATTATGAGTAAACTCAATAGCACAAATTCCGCGGCGCTTGCGAAAAGAATGTCGGGCCTCTCAGAGTCGCTACGCAACGCTATTGAAACGCATGGGACGGTTGATCACCCAGTATATGGCAAGATTTATGCATTCGAGGTTGACGGCTTCGGCGGGCACGTCATCATGGACGACGCTAACATTCCGGGTCTCCTCTCAGCACCTTTCTTCAAGTATCCGGTCAACGAGGAGACATATGCGAACACACGCAATCTGGTGCTCAGCTCGACAAACCCATATTTCATGAGAGGTCCTGTCATTAACGCTATTGGCGGCCCGCATCAGGGACCAGGCATGGCTTGGCCCATGGCTTCCATTGTACGCATTTTCACGAGCGATGACGAAGGCGAAATCGTGAACGAGCTGGCTCAGATTGTGAGCAGTACTGATGGCTTGGGCCTGATTCACGAGAGTATCAACAGCTTTAATGAGAGTGACTGGACAAGACAGTGGTTCTCTTGGGCGAATGGACTTTTCGGACAGATGATTTTGGACCTGGAGGAGCGCAAGCCAGAGATATTAGAGACAAGTTTCCAGTAAGTTGGAGGCTTTGGTTGGAGGTCTAAATATTAGCTGTGCATGCAGCATGCGTTAGTAAGCGCAAGGTTTCGAACGCCTGTATCAAGATGTTGCAATGCTATGCTAGTCATCAATGTTGTAGCACGTTGCTGGTTGCTGCCCAAACTTTACCCTGCATTCTGCATGCGTCAGAGCCTAGACACTGTGCAACTTTCAAGCCTTGATGTAAAAAGCAAAGCATGTTATGACTGCATAACTCCTCTCTGAAACCTGGATGCTTTGCGGCCGAGAAAACAAATTCCGATCGCGTCCTACAAATCGCCAATTGATCGCCCGTCCGCCGTCATGGCGGCGTAGCTGGAGCCGCTAGCAACTTGGTTTCTAGGGCATGCAGTGTCGCTCATCCTGACCAAGATGGTTGGCAATGGCTTCTCCATGTGCAAGGCTGTGCCGCAACCGGCGCTAGGAGCAGGTTTGGAATTTGTGACGCTTTGAACAAAAACTTGGTTGGAGTGAAGACGTCGGGACCCGTTCGGTGGTGGGTCGCACCAAGTGCCGGTTTCGCAGTGGCCGACAGTTTCCCCACGCTGTCTTCCACCAAGCACGGGTTGTGAGGACGGAGAAGCAATCTGGACGACGAGCTTCCCTAGCAACGACAAGCCATGCAGCGATTGCTGATGCGCTATGCAGCGTTGCTGCATGCACCAAAGAAGCTGGAGGAACTTAGCGCGGAACCCTCGTGGAAGATGTCAATGCTGTGAGTGGGTCGCTTCATCTTCTCTGGCGATCGTGTCAGGGGCCCGCGAATTAAGCGGCCGTGTGGCGGTCGCGAGAGTAACCGCGCGCGCAATCGAGTCGTGTCTGGGATGCCGTTGGCTGCCTGTGACAGGGGAACTGAAGCAGCAGGCGTGGGATCTGCTTCCTGTCCGCCATCTCAAGATCCAGTTCCTTCACGAGACTTGCAGCTCGGCATGATGCTGGTCAGCCTGGCTTGACAAGTGAGGAGAACAGCAACTAGTGCTTCGGTCCCTTACTATGCATCGGTCCCCAGCTGACTCCAAATCTTCATAGTCATGGACTGGACGGCTGAGGAAATGAAGGAGCTGAAGTGTCTCCTCTTCGGCCAGCCTCTGCGGCCAACGAGAGCCCATGACATAAGCCCAATAATGCGCCTCGAATTTGGCGTGTTTGGGATCAACGATGTCTTCAGCTGCATCTCCAAATCTTCGCTCTCGATTACCCTTTCCCTACCATCGCAAGAAAGCGCCAGTGGCTGTCATCCGCTTGGTTCCTGCCCGACTAGCACCGAACTACATCTCCAACCTGCGACCCATCTTTTTGTCTCTTCTCTTCTCATACGCCCGTTACACAGCATTCACTCGCTTTTGGACCCTCCCTGATACCGTGTTTCACCTAGACGATATTTCGGCGATTTGAACGTCGATACTAAGCGCTGAGGCTGCATCCTCCTCACTATATGCCAACATCAACCACAGGCGCTAATTCGACCAATCTTGGACCACTTCGACTGAGGCTCTGTCTCCACAATCCAACATTCACTGTCTGCCGGTGACAGCCTGCATAAAACATCCAGCCTCTGTTTGCTTCAAGAATTCTCCGACTCGATTTGATTCCTCGGATTGCATCGTCCCTAGTCAACCTCGCCAGAATCGTACATACGCGCAGAAGGACTAGTTTCAACATTTCGCCAAACGCTTGCTCTTGCGCACCAATCAACTAACTGCTTGCTCGACTTTTCTCCGGCAGGACCATACAGAAGCAGCAGGCTAAAACATCCAACTCACCGTTCTGCATGCATTTCTAAATCTGATACCTACGATTGTATGCGACACCTCAGAGGTGACCAGGGCTTAGACGCATACGCGCTTCAACGCCGTTGGTCTTTGCTGTTATCAGCTTAGGTTATCCCGACATCATGGCCATGGACAACACTACGCTCCACACCTTCCTCTTGTATGTCTACCCCCTCTGTGCCGCTCACTCTAAGGCAGTCACTTATTCTTGCATCAAGTCACTGCCCAGCTGCACTGCGCAGTGTAGTCTTACTCGGATCTTGGGACAACTTTCTGCGACCCTATCCATTAGAACTTGACGTACGCGGGGGCCGAAATCTCTGGAAAGGTTGCTTTACCTTTTTAGATATTATTTGCGACGGCGATCTGGACCAACATACTCCAAGGCGGGACGGACCTCTGAAGATGGGTGGCACCTACTGGTACTACGTAAGTCTGCTACTTTGTTAGATTGGCTCACTGATTGACTCTTTGCAGTACAAAGTAGATGAGGATGAAGAATGCCACAATCCGTCTGAGGAATCAACGACGTTTTGTCCTCTTCTGCCCGGACAGCGCCTTAACGTCCTGGATGTACCTCGCGAGGGGCACAGCCGTAGTGCCTCTGATACCTCCTCCGCTTTCACCCGGGATCCCAAAGATAGGTACCTCACGCCAGTGCCACCTGCAAGCCTAAGACCGTTACCATCCCCAAGAACCAGGTCTAGTGAAGAATCACATGTCATGCCCCTACCATCGCCTTGGACTCCAAAATCGGCGACGCATCCCCCTGCAGATGGCTTCCTGTCTCCACATGTAGTGCGCCATGCTCGAAGTGCATCAGCATCGCCTTATATGCCATCGACACCTATCTTCCCGGACTTCAAGCTTTTGAAGGAGAAGCTTGCATCGAAGCGATCTGCATCAAGAAATCACAGTGCATCCAAGACCAGGGAGCTAGACATCAGTGCGCCGGTGCTTGTTAGTGGGGGCGAGGAGCTCAACCTCATTCCATTATCAATTTACCGACCGTCATTTGAATCTATCAGAGAAGCTGAGGGTGCGGCACCGCGTTCAGTGCCAAATATCCGAAGGGAGTTCTCTCCGTTGACGTCGCATCCGGTGGATCTTGATCATGATTCACTATTCGGGCCTGCCGAGCTACCCACTGTTGATGAGCGCCCTATCAGGCGACGTCGCTCGCATGTACCTTCGACTGTTATTACAAGCGAGTTCAAGGTTGAGCAAAGCCGTGTCCGTGCTAATTCCGCCGACACAAGACGGACCCAACATTACCTATTTTCTAACGATCCTTGGCTATCCTCACCGAAGCTTCAGCAACAATTTGAAACCGAGGATCGAGTGGTAGAAGACGATACCCCTCCAGCTCCTGTACTATCACGACCGTCAACCTTCCTCGGTGTATCTGTTTCAGATGAGCGACCTACATCGAGTCATGGCAGTGTTCACAGCACGAACCTTCGACAGTCACCATTTGACAAAGAGCTCCCAGCACTTCCCCGTTATCTGATACCCGCACCACTCTACACATGCAACGAAGCATCAGCCAGCGGAATACCAGCTGATGAACTGGAAGACGAGTTCGAGGAAGCTGACGATGACGAACGCCTTGACCACTTCAGCGTGCAATTCCAGGAAAAGGCTCGCAGTCACTTTTCCACATGGAGTAACGACTCCATCGGCTACAACTCCCCAACCTCTTCCAACGAGGACGATGAAGCCGTCTTCTCGCCAACCTTCAGCTCCCTCACCAGCAACGACAGCGACATCGATACTCCTCAAGGCCTCTTAATCCGCTACTCGTATGCCTCAGCCCAACAAGTACAAACCGAGGCCTCGAAACATATGTCCATGACCCCCGAAATTCAGAACATCGACAACAACTACAATTATAATGATACTTCTTCCAATGATGAAGAAGAAGACGACCGTCAATCCCCCTACCGTCTTTCGACCCCACCGCAACTAAATGAACTCCGCATCTCAACATTCGGCTCTGATCTCTTCAAAGTTGAGACTAGCGGGCAGCATTCTGATGCGGTCTCGTCGCGTCGGTCGTCGCGGCGCCAAGCTGCTTGTTTTGGACTTGGCTTCCAGTACAGTCTGCCCGAGCAGGACGTTGGGAGTAAGACTACCATTGAAGAGCCTGTCGGAGGTAGTGAGCGTCTCGAGCCGACGGTCAGCGTGAGGAGAGATAGGGAGATAAGTGGTGTGCATGCGCTTATGGAAGATTTCGCGTTTTTGGGTGACGCGGTTATCTGAGTATACGCTTACCCCGATTTCCATCCATGCTTTTCGGTACGCGGGCCGCGATTGTTTGTTCTCGCATATTTCGCTTCACCGTTCATGTTACGTTTTACGGCCGTATAGATCTCTTCCGGTTTTCAATTGCCTTTTGATGTACAGCATTTGACTGTTTTCTTTTTCTTTCCGCTTCAGATACCAACGACGCGACATTCAACGATATAGCAGCGCATAGGAGGATTGAGATTGACTGGGTACGTTGTATACCACATGCTCACAAAGACATGAATCTTCGTACAGCATCTATCCTACGAGAAGGGATGAGATACGGAGACAAGGTGAACATGTAGATTCAAAATCATGTTTTTTTTGGACAATGATGTAGTAGTCAGCTTTCGCGGCATGTCGCTTTTAGATAGCAGTATTACAGAACTACTTAAATGAGTCACGGCATTCGATTTCATTCGCCGCAATGTCTCGTTCATGGTGAAGTTTGAGTCAAAGTTGGTGGGTGAGCACAAAGATAAATGCATGGTGTGAGATGCACAAATCGGTGTAATCCATCTCATTCAGTTTTGTCTATCTGAATATACCTTTATACGAGTGGACCTCTGTGTTAAGGTGGCCTGAACGTTTTCTGTGAATGACTACATCTAAGCTCCACTCTACGTACGACGATTATGTTTATGAGATAGTGTAGTTCTCGGCAACAGACTTGACGTCTTTGGAGAAGCTGATGTCCTGACCCATGGCAAGCAGAGTTACGGAAGACACCTGTGGCGTTCATTAACTTCGCATGTCTCGTGGAGCAAAATTGAAGACAACTTACATCGACATCTACAAATGGTGTAGCCTTGCTGAATCGAACGTTCATGGGGAAGAACTCTGAGTCACTGCCGGCTTGTGCCTCAAATTCGAAGCTACCAGAGTTGTTCGCTTCGTCTACGGCACCGATGTTCCACTCAATGCTATCGCCGCTGACCTCGTATACAGCGTCAAAACTCGAAACGTTGGGCTCGTCAGTCTGGTATGGAATAGTGACAGTGACATCCTTCAATGAGTCACCACCAGTGAGCTCGTACTCAACGGTGATGTTGTACATGTTGCCTGAATCCTCGACCCAAACGCGAAAGGTAATGGGCGGATCGGAGATGTCGTCAGGCCGTGGTGCCAGCTTCCACTTCATGACGCCAATACCCATGTTGGAGGGGAAACCCTTGCTTGTATCGGCCAGCTGAATGACCTTGTCGTTTCTGAAGACGGTCTTGTCGACCTTGGGATGTGTCATCAACTGTGCGCCGCGAGTGTCGCCAGTAGCCAGGTCGAGTTTGACTTGTGTGAAGGACGGGTCGGTAATCTTGAGTTGCATCTCGCCCTTGACTTCGAAGGACTTGAGGAGACCCTCGCGGTCCAGCCGGGCGGAGATGGTCTCGTTGGTCGTGATGTGTACGGCCTCGCGGTCAGTCGAGGTGGACTGGCGAGCGCTTGCTGGAGCGACTGCGGCAGGGGCAGATGGCTTGGGTGCAACAAGGGGTTCCTCCTCGGCCGGCGCCTGTTCGCCAGTGACTTGCTCGTACATGTTGTTGGTCTTGTTCTTCTTGCCGAGCTGCATGCCCTTCTTGCCCAGAGCCAATGGCTTGCTAGTAGCCTTCTTCTTCTCAGCCTCATAACTGTCGTACGTATCCGCGACATTGGTCGTGGGTACGCTGGGCGTGAATGCGGGATACGAAGGCGAGCGACCGCCCATACCGCTACCCATGCCACTGCCCATACCGCCTCCCATACCTGCTCGCTGCGATCTTGACATCTCCTTCCTCTGCATCTCGAGCTGCTTGGCCCTGCGCTTGCGCTCTTCCGAAGCCTCGAGCTCCTTATTCCGTGCGATGATTTCTTGGATACGCTCCTCATGCGATTCCATATCCAAGAAGGTCTTGATCTGGCTCATGGTCAGGTTCTCCCTGTATCCCAACGTGACGATCTCGTCAAAGGCTGTCAGAAGCTCAAAGGCATTCTTCTGGATCTCGCGCTCGTCGAGAGATTTGCATATCGAAGAGACGACCTGGGCGAAGAGGTGCAACGTGTTGATGTCTTGCAGAATGTTGGATTGCAGGTTGGTGATCAAGACCATGTAGAGTTCGTCGAGGGGTTGGTATACGTAGCGCACATTGTCCTGTTCGCACGTCGTGTGTTGGGTTCCGCTATCGGCGAGCTTGGGGAAGGATGCGAGGAGGGCTTCGATGCGTGAGCGCTGCATCTCACGGAATTGGCGGGAGACAACCGCCTTGCCGCCTCTTGTGCATATTGAAGCTGCGAGGACCACCTGGCTTCGTCAGCTTGGTGTCGGTGGAGGGACGGGCGAGCAATTGTCTCTCTTGCAGTCTCATACCATGGTTTCTAGGCGTCAATGGGGGCTACTAGGGTACGCGGTGCTGTTTAGAGTGTCGTGACCTGATATACAATGTCCCAGGCTTGAGGCCGCGTTGTCGAAAGTGGTGGGGAATATTCTCCGACGGGGAGTTGCTTAGGAACACAAATGCGTCCTTTGTTGGAAAAGAAGGCAGAGGGAGAGATCTGACACTAGGAACAAGAAGGCGCGGTGAAGTGCATGCAACAAGGAGAATTCAAGCTGGACAAGTAACTGTTCCCGCCCAGCTGCACCAGTCGCAACACCTGGAGGTTCCGAAGTGGACACCTATAGTCACGTGCAGCTTGCGTCTGCCTAGCGCCAATTCCTCCATGGAGCAGCTTCCCCTCCCTTGAACTATCCGTCGACTCTTGCAGCTTGCAGCTTGTTTATCGCTCTACTCTTGTACAAGGTGCATTTGTTACGCTTTTACGAACAGCACATCTCGAAACCCGCGAGTTTCATCTTTGTCAAGTCTAAGTAGAGATCACCCACGCCTCTGCTACCTGCCCGCTTCCGCCAAAGCACTTTCCCATCCTAGCGCGAACACCACCGTGCTTCCTTTGTCCAATTTCCAGACAAGCCTCCTCTCCCTCACCGCGAACAGGCTTTCACCATAGCAGACCCGCCTGAATCACGCCGCTATGTGCTTCTAGCTCTTTTACAACCTTGTGCACCGATTGCAACCCACGGTTCGCTGCATCGCCACCCAGTGACTCGCGCCAACGTGTGACGCGCTTCCCTCACTCCTTTATTTTACGCGTCTAAACCAGGAGATCAACACCCTCGAACGCTTGCTTTACACCGGATCGCAAATCATGGCGGCCGCAGCGCATACTGTACCAGGCTTTGAACTGTCGACTGCCGACGACATGGATCTGCATTCCGATGATGGCGGCCTCGACTTCAACGATGGTGACATCGAGTTGGATCTCGACCCCCCGCCTTCCCACACACAGGATGATGAGATGTCCATGAATGATGCAGCCTCGACCAACGGCCTAGATGCGGAAAATGCACATGGCGAGCAAGATGACTTCATGGTTGACCAAGAGGACGTAATTGAGGAGGATTATAGCTACCAGGAGGATGACGGCGTCATAGTTGTTGATCAGCCAGAGCCACTCACCTCACAGCCTGTACCGGTCAACTCTCCGCCTAATCCAGTCAATCTTCCACCGATTCAGACCGATGCGTCGAACCAAGATGAAGATCTTATCGACTATTCCGAAGAAGAGGGCGAAGACTACCACAACCCCGAGCTTCGTTCACCATGGCTGCGACAAGAAAGCTACCATTCTGAAGCTCAAGACGAACAGACTAAGGATATGACTGAACAACAAGACGAGATACCCGCTGACTTGCAAGCTTTGCTTTCGATGCCTGCAAACAACAAGTCGCCCAGTCCACTCGTGGAAGCCCGGAATCTAGCTGATCGCAGCTCAGACAGTCTAGCGGCAGACGAACGTGCACACTCGCCCCTCCCACAATCTGTTAAGGATGACGATGAAGAAGGTGCCCGGAATGATGACGGCGATGACGACGGCGGTGTGATGCTGCCAGGCCAAGGAGAACACACAGACAATGAGACACAGAACCATGATTCGGCGCACCAAAGCTATGATCAAGAAGCCACTGCTGAAGGCAACGAGCACCAAGACCCAGAGTCATTTGAAATACCCTCTGTTACTGTGAACTACCAAGGCGAAGAGATGTGGCTGTTCAAACAACACGACTACGATAATAGTGGAGAGTGGCTCATCCAAGACATCTCGCTTGCAAAAGCTAGCTTGTCAGATCTTTTTCAGGCATGCCGTCTATCCCTCGGTGAAGATGTGTCAGGAGAGACAGAAATTGGTTTCAAATTTGAGCATCTACAAAATTTAGAGATCTTCGAGGATAACACAGCATGCGTAGCTGTTTCACTTGAACGTCTCGTAGGATATTACCATGCATTACATGCACACGATGGTAATGACGTGCCAGACTCGTTCTATATCTCCTTGATGTTTCGGCCGCGCTTCGCTACTTTACTCGCAGACATTGCAAAATATGCCGATCAAGGGAGCGGCTATTCTGTTTTCGAGGCCGCTGTGGTTGCTGGTGAAACACATTTCGCTGGCATGATTGGTGGTGCTTCGAGCGATGAGCCCACTGAGTGGGGCACCCAGGAACAAGAGCAAGAATATGATGAGCAGCAAGTAGAGCAAGAAAACCCCGGGGCGGCAGAGGTTGTAAATGGAGAAGCGCAGCTGCGAGAATTTGATGACAAGAGTAGTCAAAACGAAGAAGAGAGCAACCAAGGGACCCGAGATGATAAGAGAGAGGATGAAGGGGAGGATGAGGGAGTAGAGGTGCATGAGGACGAACACACTCCAGCCGAGCATGATTCTTCCCACGAGCTCGAACATAATGAAAAGAATCGTGAGCCGAGTGCTCATGAGGAGGAGAGCGTCAAGCACACCAAAGAGGAAGAGGCTGAAGTGCAACATTCACCTCACGAGGAGGAATCGACTACTGAGGAAAATCACAATCTGCAAGCTGCTAATTCTATTGACATTTTCGCAAACCCTCAGGGAGTAGTAGACCAACCCCATCAGGAAAGTCCAAACCCGAGCGAGGAGACTGATGCTGAGGCAGAGGCTCGCCGCTTGCAGGAGCAAGAAGACTTTGTCGACTACAGCGACGAAGAAGACGAGCCTGCTGTAGATACCAAGGAAGCTGGAAGAGCACCCGCTACTGAACTCTCACCCTCATCTGTGACGCTCCAAGGCGACGAGTCTGTCGACGCAGATGAACATGGATCCGTCGCAGGCTCCGCCAGCCACGATGACAAGGCCAGCGAGAACGACGAGGCACTTAATGAGGAGTCTCACGTCGAACTGGAAAACGACAAAACCGAAGGCAATGATCCATTGTACCAAGATGGTGTTCGAATCGACGACGAACATGACGTATTCCAGGACTTTCACGTAGATGGCACAGATGAATATGCTGCAGATGCATATGATGGCGACATTAACCAAGACTTCGCCAACCATGAATACCAAGACTTTGATGACCAGCCAGAGTTGGATTTCATGGACGGAGATGAATTCAACGCTGCTGGTGCCGAGACAGCGGACGGTAACGATCTGACTGGTACGGACGACTTCCTGGATCTGGAAATTAACCCTGAGTGGGATGCCGACCAGGAACTGGCCCAAGAGGATTCGGACAAGACAGCCAATGTTCATGATCATGCCGATACCCAAGATGGAGAGGACGGTGTGGCTGGAAAAACTTCGTACGCAACGTCTTCGGCTGCACATCCTGCAACGGCCTCGTCTAGCAACGTCCAAGAAGTGTCCCCTCAGGGACAGAAGCGATCTATTGACGAGGCTGGACATGGAGAGGATAATGCATCTGATTCGATAGGTATGCTCATTTCTCCCGTACGCATGCGGAACTCAAACGCTGACTATTTTGTTCCAGACGCCAAGCGCACCAGAGTGTGAAGGCCCACCGTCCTCCGAGTCTACGGGTTCTTCAACTCTACTAACAAGCAGTCTCTCGTGCGCCTTTTGTTCGATTCACTACGCCCTTGAACTAATATGATGTATACTAACACCAGGTCCGACCATGCAGCGCGCGCCGCCGGATACCGAATCTTGCCAAGAAACATGGCCCCAAAAAGGTAAGGGAGAGCGTATTTATACGCGGTTTCTTTTTGTTACACCTTGCCACTACAGCAGGGCACACATTCAGCGTTGCTTTCTTCTTCTGGGCAAAGCTTTGGAGTACGCGGAGGTCAGGATAATACGTCTTGAAATGGATTGAGGATCAGGTGGCGGGAAAGGTGTAATTTTAACGTGTTCCGAGCCATATACCCAGTGCTTTGAGTTCAGTTTCAGCATATACTGGAGGGACTCGAAGCACGATCAACTCTCAACGGAAGAGTCAATCGAAAAGTTTCTCGTAAACAACGACGTTCGGGTATACCCCGGTTGGGAGGACCCGCCAGCCTTACGTGACGATGTATAAGTAGAACGACGTGACAGTGGCTCGTTTGAGGCCAATAGCGGAGCGACAGTGACGGAGTTTGGATTTGATGTTGTGGGGAAGAGGTTACGAGGCATGCTATTTTGGTTGCACTAAGCAGATCATGACGAGGCGCAGCTGGAGAAGAGACTATTGGGCCAACCTTGACACGGAATAGGGCTCTTCTCGATACGTCTAGCTTGCAGAAGTCGGGACGGGCAAGGCCAAGGCAAGACAGAGGTTGATATTTGCGGTTAGATATTGCAGGATGGAATGCCGCGTCTTTGTCTGACGAAGTGATCGGCAGGCTCTAACCCTAGCGTATGTGAGGCGTCAAAGACGGGGACAGGGGAAGCTAAAAGAGGAACCCCTGCGTAAGACGCAAGCCGCAGCCCAGCCGTGAAACCTTGGGATGTGGCCTGGCACTGGCGAGACCGACGCGGCACGCCACCCTGTTGGGAAACGAACGGTTTATCGATAGATGATCGCACATGTAGTTGAATTACCTTGCCATCTTGTTGAATTACAACACTCGCTACCGCTACCATTTGATCTCGCTGAATCGTGCTGTTGTCACGAGGTTCCCCGCGCTCGCTTGCTCTCCTCATCTTTGGTCTTCCCACCTTTCGTTGCAGTCAGTGACTTGATCCTTGGCCCGGCACAGGAACAGCGTTTGGTGAAACGCGAATCGCTTCTTGCGCAAGCATCCCCAACCTACAACCTATCCTGTCGCATCTCCCATCGCAGCTGCTTACTATATCCCATCTGTCCTCGGTCGCAGTCAGTCAGTCAGTCAGTCAGTCATTCAGTCAACACGGCGCTTGCGCATCGTCGCTCCTTCCTTCCTTGTGCAGGCCACGCTATCGATAACCCCCCAGTCCGCGCAAGCCAGCGCCAACGTCAACAGCCACGCACTAGCTTGACACCACCCACGACCGTTGCCATCGCCCGCGCACATTCACAGCGACACGCACATTGCCATCACCTGGCCGCAAACAACCAAGACGGGTCGCATAGGCCTATACACACAGCCAACATGGTCGAAGACAAGTACGTTGCGCCAAGCGACGGCATGCTGCATGCTGTCACTGCACGTGGAACCTGACGACTGACGATAAGGACAGATATGTTGGCCTCATGCTGGCCGTGAGCTCGTCACTGGCGATTGGAGCGAGTTTTGTCATTACAAAGAAGGGCCTCAATGCCTCGATGGAGAAGCAAGGCTTCAATGGAGACGGCTTTGGATACCTACAGAACCCCGTGTGGTGGGCCGGCATAACAACAAGTGAGTGCACATGCGAGACTATGCTGAGCGCATGACTGACAGCATACAGTGGTTCTCGGCGAGATTTTCAACTTCGCAGCCTATGCTTTCGCGCCTGCCATTTTGGTGACGCCTCTAGGAGCGCTTTCAGTCCTCATCGGTGCCGTGCTTGGTTCATACTTCCTGGACGAACAATTGGGCCTACTAGGCAAGATCGGCTGCGCGATATGTCTCATCGGATCCGTCATCATCGTACTGCATGCGCCGCCAGACAAAGAGGTCGAGTCCGTCGAAGAGATCTTGAATCTCGCGCTCCAGCCAGGTACGTTCTACGCGAGCTTCTGTAGTTGAAGTCATGCTCGAGACTGACAAAGTCACCTAGGTTTCCTCTTCTACTGCGCTTTCTGTGTCGTCTTCTGCATCTTCATGATATACAAGATTGCGCCCAAATACGGTCGCAAGAACCCGCTCATTTACCTCTCCATTTGTTCGACAGCCGGCTCCGTCTCCATCATGTTTATCAAGGCCTTCGGTATTGCCCTGAAGATGACATTTGCTGGAAACAACCAGTTTACACACCCTTCGACATACGTCTTCGTAATCCTGGTCGTGGGCTGCATTCTCACGCAGATGAACTACTTCAACAAGGCCCTGAGCCAATTCTCGACAAACATGTATGTTCAGCACGCCTAGATGCCCACCAACAACTGCTAACTTTTGCTTTCAGTGTCAACCCCCTCTACTACGTCATGTTCACGACCTGTACCCTCGTCGCTTCTTGCCTCCTCTTCCAAGGCTTCAACACTACATCCGCAGTCAACACCATCTCCCTGCTCTGCGGTTTTCTCATCATCTTCTCGGGCGTCTATCTCTTGAACCTCTCGCGCGAAGACCCTAACGGCAACAAAGCATTCGGCTCGCGTTTCACCGACGGCCCGCCTTCAGATGCCATTTCTGGCTTTCCCACAAGACGCAGTATGCAGGCGCGACGCAGCGAGGAGCTTTTTGAGCGACAATCGGTGGGGGTCATTCGCGACGGCAGATCTAGCTACGCCGATGCAGGTGATCGAGGCGCGCTTATGCACGACTACGATGTGGAGAACCAATTCGAGCTTGGCGATCTGGCTGATAGCGACGATGAGCTGGAAAGCGGCCAGAATACCAAGCGGACGAGCTTCGATGAGGAAGCGCGGTTGAACGGAAGACTAAGCGGTGCAGGCAGAGGGCGAGTCCACAAAGAATCAGTACAGCCGAAGAGGAATTCGTCAGTCCGATAGACCAGGCAATCAGATGATGACCATCGATTCGTACAGGCTTTTGCCTGTCTGACTTCTCTCAGGATCAGGGTTAATCCTTATAGCGAGGAAATAACTGGTTTGTAGAGCTTGAATTGTATTGCACCGCGGCGTTTGTGGCACGGGGATTTAGGGTAGTGGGATTGGCGCCTAGGATTAGGGTGCCGGCCACTTGTACTTGTACTATGACAGCATGATATGTATACCCAGAAGGCACGGAAGAAGGACTGGTATTCTTTCTAGAGCACTCGAATCGCAATTTTTCTTTGTCAACGACATCGACATGAAAACGTGACACGTAGTTCGTGTGGTCTCATTAATTTTGCTGACTCGAATGTAGCATGCTAACACTTCCACGCGGCGTTCGTAACTGCGTGTAATGTTGAGCAACGTGATAACGCGTGAATGCGCTAGGCAGATCTGGCTTAGAACGCGACTTTGATACGTGCACAAACAACTCACCCACTCAAACACATAAACTGGCATCCTCAACAGCGATCTTTCGGATCAAGGAACGGCGATCATGGCGAAAACAGACTCTGGCCATGGCCGACAGTTGCTGCAGCAAGCAGAGAAGATTCTGCTGCATCCCATACACCCACATCTCATTTCGTACTGCCCAACCATGGACCTCATAGCCTTAGTTACCGATGAGGAAAATCTCGATGTCTACCGAATCAACGGTCAGAGAGCATTCGGGCTGAAGAGAAAGAACGAGGATTTGCGCGTCGAAGCGCTACAATGGGAGTTCAATGGCAAGAGCATCGCTATCAGTTGGAGTGACGGGAGCACGGACTTGGTTAGTGCTGAGACGGGCAAGGTCACGCACAAAGACGTCATGTTGCCAGAGGTTGGAGGAGCTGGTGGTAGCATGGCGGATGATGATGCTCCGGTCAGAGTAAGGTGTATTGGTTGGGGTCTAAATTTCATCAACGTCGAGACTGTGAAGAAGCGAACAGGATTGAAACCGAAGAAGGCGAACAGCAGTACGCCCGCTAAGACCGACGTCTTTGCCAATCCTACAACTGAGGAATGGGATGCATTCAAGGACGATACCACATTAGAGGACTTCCTGCAGCGTCAGCCAGATTTCCAGACATTGGATATTGCGCCCGATTTACCGGATCAGCTTGCTATGATGGATATTGAGGCGCTGCTACCTAAACTTCCTGCAATACCCTTACCACCAGCGTTGCCATTTATGCGTATCTCACAAGCAGACTCTGGAGCGTTTAGTTCACAGGCTGAGGCAGACTCACTCCTGCACTCGCATCACCTGAAAGATCACAATTCCGTCGATATGTTCATCCGACTGACCGACCGCGGGACTGTCCATCCTTCTATCTACGACTCGCTCGAAACAGTAAACGTCCAGCTACCCAGAGCCTGGGACATTTCGAGCACACCGTTACTTCATACAAGCCACCCGTACAGTTGCACGCATAGCCTCCTCATGCAAACAACGTCGGCTACCTCGCCCCAAAAGAAGAGCATAGCCTATGTTCCGCTAACATTGAACTTTATTCCCTTAGCAGGTGTCTACCTTCATCTGATCGCAGCAAAGACATCACAGCTCCAAAACCTCCTGCTATACATCACGCAGACCCTTCAACGCATCCGTGCCTTCTTTAAGCACGCTCAAGACCTCCCTCGCAAATTCATGATGAATATCAGCGAAACACTCGAGGAGAAAGAACTCGGCGACCTCGTCACCAATCTGTTTCACACTGCATGCACGGGAAACTGCAACCCAGTCCTCAAAGAATGGCTCGTCGATGAACTCGCAGAAGCAGGACATAAGCGTTGGGACACTACTGTTACGACATCTTTTACGACGCTTCTGGCGCTTCTGCATGAAAATCTCATCCCCGCACTCGATCGTTGTTCTATCGTTATCTCGCGTCTGCGCGGCCTTGCACAATTCCACGATCAAGAATGGATATTCAGTGGGCCAATGAGCGAATTCTCTGCGTTATTGGAGACGTTGAAGAATATGCGGCTCCTCGCACATACGGCTATGTTGTATGCATCAGAAGAGAAGAGACAGTTCCACAACTTCAGTAAATGGCTAAGGTTCACCGTTGACTTTGAGGCTACAGAGCTGGAATCGCAGTCCAGAGCCGAGATGGAACAGCGTGATCCGGGTGTTGACGTTTCACAGGTGTTGGCGTATATCCAGTACGGACTTACCAAGTCTGATGTTGCGCCATTCTTTAGGCCAGAGGCGCAATTGGATCCAAAGGCCAAGGGAAGAGAGGCGGCGAGCTACGAAGATACGAAAAAAGCCGTTGAGTTACTGAAGGAAGGTGCGACGTTCAAAGAGGAGGCATTGTGTTTAGAACATGTTCTTGGGCACCTGAGTACAGGGGTGATGGGCCTGCTGAAGCAGATTAGTAAATGGCAGGAAGCGAACATACAGATGAACACTGGTGTTGTTCTTGAAGATCTTGGAGAGACTGATGACATAAGTACACTCGACATGAGGATGGTGTTTGAGGTAAGCCCTTCTTCCCTGTTTGTTGATCATTGAAAACTCGCGGATGCTGACCTACCATCTTGAGCCATCAACATCCTCAGACAGCATGAGCACATATATTGCATTCTCATCCCTGTCATCACCTACCACACTGCATATCCACCGCTTATCCGACACGCAAAGTGTATCCAATGTACGTAAGGACATATCAGCCTACGCCATCTCCACTCTTGACTTCTCCTCTGCTTCTATGTCTACCAAAGACGCCAAGGTCCTAGACGCCAAATTCGCAGACGACTCTTCCCTTCTTATCCTCCTGCAAGTTCCGTTGGAAGATAAAACAGTGTCGAACATCATCGTTTCTCTGCCTTACACACTTGGCGTCAATAGCGTGTCTCACGAACATCCCATCGTCACTTACACACCACTTCCACACGCATCGGTACAACAGCATCTCCTTCCGCAGGGCACACCACCGCCTTCAGTGTCGCGCATCAACATAGCGATAACGCGCGAGACAATCGAGAGACATACGAGACATGTCTTTGAAGGCCGGTTCACACCGTTGAGGCTAGAAGTCAATGGCAGGAAAGGCAGGAGGGTGATTGTAGTGTTGGGTAGCGACAGGAAGCATTACAGAGTGCTGGACATGGACTTTAGGATGAAAAAGGATAAGGATGGCAGGGATGATGCTAGTTGGAATGGGAGTGACAGTGAAGCGGAAGATGGAGACGGAGATGTCAGTATGGATGGGGCATAGATGGCCTCGACATGTAATAGCAAAAAAAAAACCATGACAGCACAGGAACAATCAGAGGCAAACGTCGGAAGTTCAGATCAGATACATTTTTCGGAATCACATTCCCTAAAGGACCTATCATGCATGCAAGCCATAGTAGAAGAAAGCCTAGCTTGCCGAGAAGTTTCCATTTCGTTATAACGCCCGGCCACCCGCATGTAGAGGTATGGAGAGAATAACCGACCGCATCTTTGTCGTTCCTATCGTAGACCAACGCCACCAGATCACAAAGCACCACTCTAGTCCTTTGTCTTCTGGGTACCACGGAGCAGACCTGTCCTCCGCGCGGCAATGAGACCGGCCTTTTGACCCTGGGTGGCGTACCGGGAGATGGTCGAGGCTTTACCGATATGCTGGTGGTTACCACCACCGTGAGGATGGTCGACGGGGTTCATGGCAACACCACGAGTCCTGGGCCAGCTGTTGCGCTTGGCAGCGAACTGTCGTGTGTTAGCGATGCTCTTCTGAGCAGACCGTGATTGTGCATACCTTGTGCTTGGCACGCGACGCCTTCATGAGAGGCTTGTCTGTGCGGCCACCACCAGCGACGATACCGACCATACCACGGCACGAGCTGGGGAGGACCTTCTTGGCACCGGATGGGAGCTTGACACGGGTCTTGCCCTCATCGGGGTTGTGGCCGATGACGGTAACATAGTTACCGGAGGTACGGCCGAGCGCACCACGGTCACCGTTCTTGTCCTCGACGTTGGTGAGAACGGTACCTTCAGGGACGGAAGCGAGGGGGAGGACGTTGCCGATGGTGAGCGCAGCGTTCTTTCCGGCGTAGATGAACTTTGCCATGTTAGATCTTGTCCCATTTCCAGCAGCCCGGAATGCGCCAACTAACCTGGCCAGTGTACATGCCCTCGTTGGCGATGAAGGTCTCGGTGTTGTGCTTGAACTTGTAGGGGTTGCGGAAGGTGACCCTGGCGAGAGGAGCGCCTGTGGACGAAATGGTTAGAAAATGGGCCCAAAGTCCAATTCTCGCACTGGGTACTCACCACGACCAGAGTCGTGGACAATCTCCTTTACGACACCCCGGATGTATCCATTGCGCTCAGCCTACACCCATTAGCCCTCTGTTCCCAGTATGTTTCCAAATTTCGCGAATTGTGCGGGCGGCGAACGTACGAAGTCGAGCGTGCGGAACTGGGCGGGGTTCTTGTTCAGGCGGGTGTTGGCCGTGAAGATAGAGCCGCGACCCTTACGTTGGTTGCGAATGACCCTACCCATGACGACGGTGTTGATGTGAGTTGGTTGTCGGTCGTTGGAGTTCACAGAGAGGAATATGGTCAGTCGCTTAGCGAGACACAATTTCGAACGTGTGTGGCGCTAGCCGTTTGCGCACTAGCGCCAGAGCCTCTGGCTTGGGAGCGACAGAGCAACAAGGCCGTCGTCAGCATCATCGCAAAAGTCTCTTTTATTTCACTGTAGCTTTCGTTCCTTCGTTGTCTCCTTGGACTGCCCGGTTAGCACGTTGCGCATGCACAAGAATCATTTACACCTACCACCGTCTGAACTGTCCACATTGTAGCCACTCCACCCTTACACTCGCATTGAGTTCTACTCTGCTCAGCAGCAAACAATTTCTTCATAGATTCAACCACCATCAGACTTCTCGTTTGAAAGCCAATTTCCTCTATCCTATCCCTGTTTGGCTCAATTCTCTTCGTCTTCCAGGAATTCAAAAGTCACTTCGTCTCGCTCCTCGAATCAAACATCAAGTCACATGTAGCAATGGAAAGTTGTTTTGCTGTCTGTCCTCAGGACAACAGAACCAGGATAGTTGTTTATATGTAAAATTGCAATATGTACATGCAAGGGGTATGTCAAGACCCCAAAGAGAATCGAAATCGAAAGGAACGAACAGAACCAAGAATCTACAACAAGAAAGCCATCAACAGCCAAACATCTTTCTCCTCAACTCAACCACTGCATCGCGCCAGTAGCCAGTCTCCTTGTTGTCGGCACTCAGTGCCTTGTCTCATAGTCGAGAATCTATGAGCCAGTGATGGTGTACTGGGACTTTCCAGCGGCGTTACCCCAGCCCTCAGTAGCAAGAGTCTGGTAGTTGTGCTGACCCAAGTTCATGCCGAGCTTGGCCCAAGCGTCGAAGTGGCACTTGGTGGTAACAGTGCCGCTGCCGGGCCTCTTGTTAACACGGTTGCTGATGTACTGGGTGAAGGTGGTAGTTCCCTGGATAGAAGGCTGGTTGACCTGGGTGTGCTTCCAGATGTCGTAGACGGAGCCGTCGCAAGTCACCTGGCCCATCTTGGTGCCCTGGGCGGAACCGGCGCCGTTGGAGGTGTACTCCTGGATGTAGTACTCGATCAAGGGACCGGTAGTCCAGCCATAGACGGAGACAAGGACGGTTCCTGCCGAGGGGGAGGTGGAACCCTGGAAATTGATCTTGCGGGTTGTGCCCTTGGTCCAGCCCTTTCCTACGACGAAGTCGCCGGCGTTGGAGAAGTTGACTGAGTAACCGTTGTTGGTGGGGGAGAACTGAACGTTGCCGGAGGTCTTGTAGTTCTGGTTGTAGTCCTGGCGGGTGGCAAGAGCCTTGCTTCCAAGCTCGAAATCAGGGACATCGGCAGTGGGCGCGGCGTAGGCAGAGCCGGCGATGGCGCTGAGGCCGAGGACGAGAGAGCTGAAGGCAACCATTTTGAGCAAAGTTGGGCTGTTGGAAAGAACGTTGATTGGTAAGAGAAAAGAATGGAAGTGAAGGATGCTTGTGTAGATGAGATGAGAAGCTTGGTGGTGAGCTTATTCGTTCATCAAGCCCTTGGTCTATATACAACAGAACGGTTAAAAGGCTGTAAACACATGGCACCAAACATATTGCGATTGTTTCAAGGTCTATCACCGAAGCCTTGCCACTGTTCCCCTGTGCCTATCCAGATGTGAACGATGTTCCCGCGCCCCGGGGATGAGCAGTCCCTCATTCGGACGGACCCTGGACATCTTAGATCCTCAGACGAATTCCACCAGTAGCGCAAATGAGCAGTACCCCCGATTAATTAAGCTCCGTCAAGCTACGGTAGATACATAAAGTGTTCTGTGGGGAAGCCTACCATTCATGCACCACGGTGCATGGATCGTCGTGCTTATTCCCCTCGGCAAAAGCTTGGAGAGGCTTGGATACCCTAGACCTTCCTGCTATGCGAGCCAACATACCGCCGGCTATTATGGGAAGCATTGACGCGTTTTGTTACCACAGCATTGCTGTAGTTTTTTTCTACTGTACATGCGGTGTAGAGGAGGGGGAGATGGGTCATGTGTACCTGTGCTGACCCCTTCGAGGCAAATCTTGACGTGGCGTCTTCCGATAGCCCTTTGGGCAAGGCGCGTCAGGGCGGCCACTAGAGAAGCCGAAGAAGGTGCCGGCGGGAGGATGCGAAATTTTGATGAGAAGAAGGTTTGGATGACATGAACGGTGTTCAGTCAGTACCCAGGTAGGTACGTAATGAAGTGCTTTCTTTGCACGTCTGTTGATACCTATCTGACTCCCTCGTTGTACCTTCAAAGTCCAAATGCCTTCCATTACGACCTTGACACCAAAATAGAAAGTAATTATGCGACCCACTATGAAACAAGCTCAAGGCATGAATCGCCTATCCCGTCTTGTTTCTTAGGCACAGTCTGCGCATGAGACAGCACCACAAATCATGACGTTATACACCAGTGTCGCATCTGCTCTTCTGCCGGTAATAACATCACGGTAGAACGCGTGAAACAACAGCATATATCATCTCGTTAACAGCCGAAGAACCCAGATGATAATCCGCGGAGTGTAACCAGGACAGCCGGTCAGAGAGAGCGAGAAGGATACAGTGGTGCGGGCGAACGCATCGGTACAACTGAAACATCGCGTGTCCGTCTCAGAAACATCCTTTCATCTCCGATGATGTTCTGGACTTAACATCCATAAAACGGTCTAGAATGACGAAATCTTCCATAGACTACACTACTGTCAGTGAAATGAGGAGCACATGACGACAAGGCACGAGTTTAAACGGTATGGTCTTAGCAATTCCGCATGAGCAAAAATCCGGATTCAATAGCCTAACTCTTGAGGCCGGTCCGTAATGGCGCCGTGACGCCGATGTGCAAGCCCGATGCACCCACCGCCAGATATAATGCAGGTATAAGGTATGTACAGCGAACAGAAAGCGCAAGTGTGTCGCTTGTCCTCAGAAACACTCATGACAGCATAGCAAAACGACCCAACCCATGCGTCTATCATCTATCTTCGCGTAGCCTCGATAGCTTTCTCCAAGCCAACGATCCTCAAACTCTTGCCTCGGCCAAGTTTACCACTCATCAAGCCAGCTGCAGGAATGAGCTTGTCGTCCCAGTGACGGAAAAGGACCTTCATGTCGCGAGGTACACCTTCTAGTACAACTGTAGTAACGGGCATGAATGGACGGTCTTCCTCTGATACAGCGAGCATACCGTAGGCTTGCGCGAACATCAGGGCAGTGGAGAATGCAGGCGCTTGCGTGCGAGACAAAGGACCAACAATTCTGCGAACCATTAGTGAACTGTATCTTAGAATGCAGTAACGAGATAACTCACATGTACATCTCGAAGAACGCGTCAAGTACATATACGTTCTCCGGCTCCAGATCCCTCTGAGAGAAAGGCATAATTTCTTTGACTTCGGTCTTGACAACACCTTGCGGCGTCTTGGGCGTAAGCGGCGTCTGTGGCCTCTGTTCAGCAGCGTTCCAAGATGGTCTTCGCAGCAGCGGTGCGAAAAAGGAGCTGCTCACCTGGAGTGCTTGGCCCCATCCTGCCGGCTGGCCAGTCGTTTGTTCGATCTTGTAGAGACGTACGCGGTACTTGTCGGATGTGGCCTTGTAGCGCCAATGGTCTGCTGAGCGGGGAATGGCGGGGCCCTTTGCTGGGACTTGAGGGGAAGGAAATGTGTTGTTGAGGAAGCTTGGAGGTTCGGCGCCTTCAGCAATCTCGTTGTAGTCGCCAGTAGGCGCGAGGTCCATGCCCATAAGACGTGCACCAGATAGCTCCTCAGCAGAACAGCCGCGGCCCTTCCAAAGAAACACCTTGCCAGCCGAAGTGGAGACAAGGTAGGGGAAGGCGGAGCATAGGCTCTTGAGTGAGAAATCGACTTCGTCAAAAGCAAGGTGTCCAAGATGGCGGCGACCACAGAGCATGAATTCCTTTGCCGCTGGCTTTGCACCACGTCTTGTGATGACGATACCGCCCAGGGCTTCGAAGAAGTTGGGTGTCTCTTGACCTTGACGTATGACTAGAAGCGTGCCTTGATTTTGACGTGCATGGTTCTTTGCGAAGAGTTGTACATCTTCAAGCGTAGGCTCTGCTACACCATTGCCAGCCCACAAGTAGACATTAGTATGCCTAACACCCCTTGCGTCATCGTAGACGTGCGTGCACAGATACATTGAATCCTGGAACAGGATATGCTCTTCTTGAACAGACACAGCTGTGAGTCTACCATCGCCAGTTACTTCTTGGATCTGCTTGCGCAATGTACGTATCTTTCCAGATGGACCTAGGTCAAGCGGTGGAGATTTTAGTGTGTGCATAGTATCGATGTTGTCGGGCAGCTGGCCTTCAGTCACAGGGGCTTCATCGAAGAAGTCTGCGAACATGCCATCGTGTTTTGGGAGAGTCGGTGACACAATGGAAGGTTCAGAGAATGGTCTATTTGCGCTTCCCGGTGGTGACATAGGTGCGTTTTTGGGTGGTTGAGGGCTGGATTCTCGTGATCGAGACGCGACGAACCCACCCAAGCTTCCTAAGCTGAAGCCTAGCCCGACAGGTTTTGGCTTCGGTGGCAGAGGCTTGGACTCAGTCGGTGATTGTGAGTTTGATTGCGGTGGATCGGGCAGAGCCTTGGTGCCTGACCCCGATGAGCGAATCAAGCCGGCGTCCCTCATTGCAGCTTGTTCGTCTGTTTGTGTAGGGAGTTTGATCGGAGACCTGGCTCGTGGTGGAGCGGGCGACGAAGAAGCTGAGGACCTGCCCCATAGTGTGGTAGCGCTCTTGACCGATGAGAACGTAGTCTTCTCAGGCGAAGGCTCATCCTTCGCCGGCGAGATCTCCACATTGGGTGTTGAAATCTCCCGAAGTGGTGTCGACTTGGGACTCTCTGCTACTGGCTTGCTAGGCAACGTTGGTAAAGGACGCGAGAATCGAGAATGAGATGTGGCCGGGGAAGACGTGGGTGAAGCCGGCTTTGGTGATTCAGTTTGCTTGGGCAAAGGTGACTTCTGCGGCGTGTTGTATGACCCCGAGACTCGTCTTTCGAACTCCAGAGACGTTGGCTTCTTGGGTATTCCTGGCGAGGAAGGCTTCGGTGAGTTGATAGACTCCGGTCGTGGCGAAGGCTTGGGCAAGACCTGCGGATCAGAAACCGTTCGATCTAGTTCCGAGGACTCTGACTTCTTGGGAGGCTCTGGGGGTGAGGCCTTGGCGAAGGCTCCGGAAGAGATGCGCGCTGATTTGGCTGGGGTAGCAGGCTTATCAGTCGAAGACTGTCTGGCTGGCGTCCTGGCTACTGGTCGCTCCTCTGGTTTTCCGTTAGTCTTGGAAGGCTCAGAGCTAGGAAGGACATGCTCTGGTTTGGCCGAGGGAGCAACGGTAGCAGTAGGTACCTTCTCTTGAGCCTTTTCTTGAGTCTTCTCCGGTTCAGCAGTAGTGGGTTTCGAGGCGGGTGCCCTTCGCTTCGGTCCGCGGGCACGACCTTTAGTCATATGTTGCAGCTCTGGAGCTGGTCCAGTCTTTTCTTCCTGCGCAGACCTGGTAGGAGACACGTCTACCTCAGCACTTGATGTAGACTTGTTCATCGCAAGAGGAGGTGGACCTCGAGCGAGCATACCAGCTAGAGCAGGGTTGAATCGACCCGCGAGCTTGCCAGACATTGCTGGCTCTTTTGTCGTGGAGGTGGGCGCGGGTTGTGCTGGCTTGTCGTTGATGACAGGCCTGTTCGCCGCTAAACTCTTCCTCCTCATCAGAGCTTCCGGAATGGGCTCTGGTTCTTTCGGTGCAGCAGTTTTCGGGTCACTGTCTGCTCGATTTAAGACCTTCTTCTTTGCAATAGCCTCTGGCGTCGGAGGGGATGGTTTGGATGCACTGTCCGATCTCTTCAGCGCCGAGCCCTCTTCTTGAGCCTTGTCAAAGATGGTAGATTTCCTCTTGATGAGGCTCTCCCTGAACTCATCCTTTCGAATTGTAGGCTTTGGGCCACCGGTTATGTTAAGAGCGCCTTTGCCTCGTGTGATGTTCTCCTTGAGCACATCTGGCGCAACATAGTTCTTGGTTTCAGCCTTTCTTAATCTGCCAAACACGTTCTGTAATTCATTAACCTCTCCCTCCTTCTTTGAATTATCAGGAGGTGGCCGGCGCGGCTTCAATCCAGCGCGGAAATCTTTCTTAGGTGGTGTTTTCGGTTTCGCAGCTGGGAGACCACGTCCAGTGTCCTGGTTGAATCGTGACGCTACTGGTTTGGATTCTACTGGTGTCGGTGGTTGTTCAGCTGGTGGTGGTGATGGTGATGCTGACTTGGTAGAGACAGGAGCAGTTGCTTCGCTTGCAGCCTGCTCGAGGGCGTCCTTTGCAACTTCAGGCTCAGTCGCCCTCGGTGATGTCGCGGCTGCGGGCTTGTGTTCTTCTTTTTTGGTGAACAAGGGCTTTGGTGCCAACGCAGGCGTAGGACTCGGCGACGCTTCTTTGACCGTCTCCATCTTCTTGAGCTCTGCAGACTCTTCCTTTTTGGGAGACTCGGGCCTGCGGAGGCCTACAGGTTTCAATTGTATGTCTTTTATAGGCGACGTGCGACCCGACCCAGTCGGCTCTCCAAACGAGCTACCCTTGCCTAGGTCCACACTGCTACGCTGTTGCTTGATGCGATTGATTTCTGCCATCCACGCGGGTTGCGCTGGTGCCGATTGCTTCGGCTTGGGCGACTCTGGCCTGCTCAGCGCGCTCTCGAGCCAGGTCGACTTTGTAGGGCTCCAGCGCTTCGAGGGACTTGGGGGTGAGAAATCGTCTTGCAGTGCGTCTTTGTCGCTAAAGGTCGACGCAACAGATTTCGCTCTGCTGTGACGGTGGGGCAGGGCAGGCTTGACGAACTCGTCTTTGGTTGCGCTGTCCTTGTCGGCCCCGGTTATGGTCGCATTGCTGTAGCTGGAGGCAGGACGCGAGGAGGAAGGCTCGATGGAGTTGTCTCTAGTCAGGTTAGGTCGCTCAAGGCCGGAGATTGAGCCATAAACGCTCCCGCGGTTGCTCAGGGTTGAGTTTTGCCTACTCAGAACTGGCGGTGTCTGCGTGCTCCACCTCTTGCTTACGCTATCACTTCGCTTGAGCATGGCACTTTGCACAAAGCCGCCCATGCCCTTGGTAGGCGACGCTGATCGCTCCCGTTCGGGCGAGATTCTCCCTTGGGTTGGTGACATGGCGAGGGCGCGTGCGGCACGTTCGCTGTCTCCACCATCGATCGACGAGTCTTGTTCGGAAGGCGGGGCGAACTTTTGGGAGTCGAGTGTTGGAAGGTGCGACCGTCCTTTGGCCAGAGACTCTGCATCGCCACCAGAGACGGATGTGTTGGAGGAGAAACGGTTGCTCATCGTGGCGCTGCCTCGCAGGGAGCCAGCCCGAGAGCCGGGCGAGCTGGAGCGTATGCCTTCTGTAGGCGGACTACTCATCTCGGGCTCTACGGTAGACTCGCGTGACATGCCTGGCAGTTGCCGCCTGCCCGACACTGAGCCTGTCTCTGAAGCGGCATCATCCTGGTTTTTCCTGAAAGCCGCCGACCCCCTTCCGCCCTCTGCTGATTGCCGGAAGAAGTTTGGATCCTTGGTGCCTAACGATGCGGCAATGGAACTTCTGGACGGGTTGGCCTCTGGCGAGGACGGTGGTTCGGGTGTGTTGCTGGCAGAAGCTCGTTCGGGCGAGCGTGAGGCGACTGACAGAGGTCGGCGTATGCTGCCCGACTTGGGCCTCTGATTCCACGATAATGTGCCTGAGCGTCCCAATGCTGCTGCGCTGGTAGCCGGTTTCTTGGGTTCTGTGTCCTCAAGGGTCGCCGCCGTGGGAGAGCTCGTGAGGCGCTGCAGCGATTCGTCGCGTCCCGTGTCTTGAGCAGGAGGGCTCATGGTAGGTGTGGGCGTGCTAGCAGCCTTTTCCTGTACCATTCGGGGGGTGGCGGTGGCAGAGCGCGGCGATTGGGGAGTATATGGCTTGTCGGGGGAGATCGAACGGGCTCGCTCTGTTTGGGAAAACATCAGTCGTGAACGAGTCTAACGGATCCAAAAACAAACCTGCTCTCCGCGCTAGTCGCTCGCTGCGTCCTTGTATCAGCTCCTCCTCGAGCTTCTTGACGCGCTCGGCATCCTCTCGGTCTCGTTGGTCGCCTAACCGTTGAATCCGCTGCACGAACTCGGAGGGATCGATTTCCTTACTGTCCTCCGACGACATGGTGGTGTGGGCGATGAGAAAGCTAGGCAATCACAGGCCAATGTGCGCTACGGGAGTTATGCGCAAGGGTTGAAGATGCTCGGCAGTGGAATGAAACCCAGACGGATCTTGAGCTAGACGGTCGTTAATTTGCTTCGACTCGGTTATGTCATTCTTGGCTGCAAGTGCTCGCATGTGTTTCAGACGGGATGTAGACGCAAGGCTGGCAAGCAGACGGCATCAAACGAGCGAATGGCGAAGAGAGTGGCAGAGAGAAAGTAGGATGCAGGTCGTGAAGATGGCCTCGATGGCTGTTTGTTTATGCTATCAGCGTTCCAGCTGCGGCCAGTTGACGCCAGCTCCACAATTGGGCGGTTGGAACTTGTCATTCGACTACTGTTGCACTACCCGCATCGAGCCTTTGGGCTGCCTTGCCCCTTGCAACCCCGATGCATGCCGACACGCTTCAATACAGGAAGAGTCGAGCCTTTGCATCCTGTACCACCCACTCAAGACCTTCCCGCAGGTTCATTCCCGTCATAGCACTGCAGGTCATAACGTGCCATTTGTGTGTCTTGATAGCGTCGAGTCGCAGTCCCTGTACGCCACCGTTAGCATTGGCCCGCCAACCAAGCTCAACATGTTCGTAAGCCATCTTCAACCCACCTCACAAATCTCGTCTTCCGTCATGGATCCGGGGACGTCGCTCTTATTTTTGAAAACTAGCAGGCTTGCTCCGGAAAGGCGCTGCTCTTGTTAGTCGGTCATCAGGAGGGATTATGCTTGTGCGAACCTCTTCCAGCAGCAACCCCGCCAACTCATTCCGACAATCGTCTATTCGCTCGCGGTCGGTTGCATCAACAACCCAGATGAGTGTGTCTGTCTTCTCGAAATAGTTCTTCCAGTACGTGCGCAACGTCTTCTGGCCGCCGACATCCCCTGCTTTGTCAGTACAGCATTCTCCGGAGACATGCAGTTGCATTACATATATTCAGTTTGTATCTTTCCCGTTAGTCTCGTTCCGCAGGCTGGGCTATTGTACATACCCATCGTACTCAATCGTCTTGATGATAAAACCGAGTGTAGGACTGACGCTGTTTACATCTTCGTTCATGATCTTCTTCACTATAGTCGTCTTTCCTGCATTGTCAAGACCACTGACGCGGTGAGCTTTTGGTTTGGCAAACGATCTTGAGATACGCACAGCATAAGAATGCGCATCTCCTTGTCCTTGAGACGCGCTTTTCGCAATATTGACAGCATTTTGTGCTTTTCACTTTCCAAGTTTTGTCTTGTTCGTTAGGCAGTCATTGGGATGAGTGGAGCTCACCAGTCAAGCGGCTAAACTGTTTACGGACGCTTGCACACGACGGCATGTCATGCTACAGCACCAACGCCGTAACCACGTCGCTCTTAAGAAAGCATGGCCACATATTTATCAAATTCGATAAGTTACATGGCATGGGGTGGAAGGGGACGTGAACAGAGCATTCCATCGAAGAATCGATTCCCTTTTCTTCATCATCGGCGGCGTGTGTTTGCTGTCTCAAAGACACTGAGCCTGTCTCGATTTTCCGACAGTAATCGTACCTAGACTGCTTGCAAAACCGCCTTCCTTCCTTGTTTTGCACTATTACCAGCCACGTGGGACGTGTCACAGCAAGACAGAACTCCAGAATGGGAAGGAGGTGAGAGGGAATCGGCTTGCTCTCACCCAACACACTAGGCAGCTTCGGCGATGAAGCTATAGAACACTGAACCAAGGGCTTCAGACATCAAGGTTCCTTGACTCCTCTTTGCTCTAGTCCTTTCTTCTGTTCGTTTGAGTATCCTCTCGGGCCCTTGCTTGTCTCTTCTCTGTTGGACGTGTCGAACCCGCACTATGAGCCGAATGGCACGCAACTGGTGTCCGCGCAGCACCCTGCCGCTGCTACCGTTACTGGTCGAAGTGGACGGCTCCTCGGCCAATGAGTCCCACATCAACACCGAGCTGAAGAACGAACCCATGACCTGGCAGCAAGAGAAGGACTTCAAGCGTTCTCCTGTAAGTGAAGGCGCGACTAGCCTCCCAAATCGACTTCAGATCACTCCGAAAATCCTGCATATGAAAATCGTCTTTCCCTCAACCTCAACCTTCTCACCTCACTTGCAGCTAACACGGGACAGGGCCTCAATAAACCTCAGTCTGGACGTCCTCACTGGCAGTCGTTGCCTTTCGAAGAACTCCCCGCAGTACATGTCGGTGCCGACAATAGCTGGGTAGCTCAACAAGCAGAACTCTCCCTTCCGACTCACCTACCTGAGTTGCACATTAACAACGCGATCAAAAAACAGAAGCCACCATACAAGCGGCGCTCCCGCAACAAGAAGAAGAAAACTGGAGACGGCGAAATGATTGGACCACCTGACAGTACGGCAAGGGTCTATGTCCCCCCTCATCTGCGCAATCGCAGCTTTGTCGACGCTGGAAAGGCAGACTCTGCTCACAGTAGCGGTGTTGCTGTCAGCGCATCACCTACTGCATCCAACACCATCATCAGCAAGACTGATCCTGTCCCGTAAGTCTACTCAAGAGCGCCTTGCCGTCGTGTCCTGTATTTATTGACACATCTGTAGTAACGGTGTAGCTCATCAGTACCAGTCCCCATCCTCATCAGCAAAGACCTCGCACGATCTCACACAAGACGAGAAGCGCGAATCCGCGATGCCTGAGCCAGTCGTTTACGTTGGTTGGGACGAGCCCAAGGAAGACCCTCCAATTGCGAAGAAGAACCCCGGAAACCCACGATGGGCTCGAGGCCCACAGCCATACAAGAAGACAGTTTGGCCCAAAGCGAAAGATATGAAGTACACACCTTCTAGCAGCAACAGCGACGGCGGCGTTGACTTCAAGTCTAATAGCGACGGAGACCCACACTACGACATCAAGAAGCTGGTAGACTGGAACGGCGATTGGTTGCCTCCTGAGATGTGGTCCGCCCGCAAGGGCTACACGGATCGCCATTTTGGTGCGCACATAGAGCAATGGTGTAACACACATCCTCCGGATTTCAACAACGGAGTCACTCCCTACTTCCCACCCGATACATTTATCCAGGGTAAAGAGTTGGCACCTCGTTACTGGCTCGAGGTGAAGGTGGGCGGTGAAAGTCTCAGAGACTTCTGGAAAGGTCTCGTAAATCCAGAGAAAGAGCCGAAGCCCCTAGATGTGAACGACCTCACTGACTACATGCCCTGGTGGGAGCTATATGAGGACGTGGTTTACACAGAGACCATGAATGATGATGAGAGCCACAACCAGAAAATGGTCACCCATCCCACTAGCTACCTCCGCGCCCTAGACGTGCCAGATGCCAGAGTTAACTTCAATGATCCTGAATACCCATCGGCATCTTGGATGCTGGCTTCTGCACAAGAAAAGGTTGAAGAGAAGAACAAACGCACAGCGGAAAAATATCGCAAGTTGATGGCGAAGCGGAGTCGTCCCGTTCCAGAGTCGAAGTACCCTACTCCGCAAATGGCAGACCGCCGGCTGCATCCCGAAGCAAACATGTACATCCGACCAGTGAAGTCGGCCGATGTTGAGGGCATTTCGGTAAGTTGAATCACGCTCCCCCAAACACGTTCGTGAACCTTTAAGGTTAGAGTGACAGTGAGTTTGAACTAATACTGCCTAAGGAGATCTACAATTACTATATCAAAAACACTGTTTTCGCGACTGAGTTTGATGAACGTACCGTAGTCCAGATGGCTCAACGAATCTCTGATATTGTGAACGCTGGTCTTCCATACTTGGTAGCAGTCTCCAAGAGCAACCGATCCAGGGCTAATCCAGGATGTGTTAGCGAGAAGATAGCTGGATTTGTCAATCTGGACGACTATTGCGGTCAGTCAAGCTCATACCGTTATACGTTTGAGATGGAGTTGTTCGTCCACCCAGGGTTCGTTTCTAAGGGAATCGGCAAATGCCTCGTGGATAGACTCCTCGAGATGGTTGATACCAGCTACCGCGCCCGTGGTGGATATGAGTACGTCAACGATGATACATACCTCAAGACTGGACCTGCGAGGGTCATAAAGACCATTTTACTTAAGGTCCAACACGAGAATGGCGAGGACTTGGAAGCTGATTGGCGAGGCAAATTCCTGAACACCTGCAAGTTCTTCCGCGTTGGTCGATTCCCGAAAGTAGGCTACAAGAACGACAAGGTCCTGGACACTTCGATCTTTGCGCACCAGACCAAGGAGGACATCGATCCAAGCGCTCGTCCCACTGTCGCTGGCTGAACATGATTGTACATACAATCTATGCCAAGTAAGTCACGTATAACAATTGAGAAACACCCACTGACGTAACATCTACCAGCCGCCAGCTTGATGATCTGCCATAGCGTCAACCGCCAAACCTCCCAAACCACCACATCGATGCAGCACGGTCGATTGCGTCTACTCTCTAACAAACAAAAAGTGTTTCTCTATTTGTCTTTCTTGCTTTGCGGTACCACGAACTTACGGTGGAAAACGTTTCATCATAATGAACCAAGATCTTCATGTTTCTTCAAATTCGTCTACTGGGTATAGTGTCATGGTAATGGTGGCATCTGGCGGAGTCTTCTTCAATACGAATACTTGCTTCCACAAATGCTTCAATCCTTCGCGTAGTGCGACGTCAATGGTGATGTCGTCAACCCCCTTGTCGCATACCCCACCAAAAGGAAGGGGAGCGCGCCAAATCATGCCCACCCATAACGTGTGACGTCACAATCCTCCCCAAAGCTTGGAAACGCGCCGCGTAACCTCACGCAACTAACATAAAGGCCGTTTTCTCCAGACCCCTAAACGACTAACTCTAGAAATTCGTTAGTTCCTACCACGTTCCAATCACCAGAGTAGATAAACAACAAACATACATCTCCAAGTATTGTACGCGCGGACCAAAAGTTATCCAACATGTCAGACAAGAAGCAAGAAGAACAGCCTCAGCAACAGCACATCCAGACTGAACCCCAGGATGACGAACAAGAAGAGAAGAAGGGCTCTGGAGGTCTTTTGAGTACAATCGGAGATCCCATCGGTATGTAGTCTCGTCATTCTTATCAGCCTCCTGCCTAGCTCTCTCTCTACAAATAGCTCTCTCCTCCCATGCCTGTCCTAATATGCGTCAAGGAAACGTCTTAGGCACAGCTCTCCGTCCCATTGGCGCACCCCTAGAAAAAGGCGTAACAGGCCCACTCGGCAACGCCCTGGGCGGCACCACACGACCCGCTCTCGGTCCGTTGCTAGGCCACGAAGAAGAAAGATCTGAATTGCTAGGCGGCAAGAACAAGGATAGCTATGAGAGTACACCAGAAAAGATTGCAGGAAAGGAGCAGACAGGGCAGAACCCTCTGGGCTTGGACCAAACAGGACGATGGGGATTTGAGGACGAGAAGAAATAGACGGAGAGAAGAGCAATTGTAGGATATGTTTTGTCAAAGTTCTCAATTTTGTGTTATTAAGGAAAGAAATGGCGGTACGGGTATATCCTTTGAAGAACTCCCAAACTCCAATGATCTAGTGACCCGAGATGGTCAAAACATCTCACTCATACCACTCTCGCCCAACACTCCTTCTTCGTAAAGACTCTGGTCCCTGCCTTCCACTTCCTCCCCATCATTCGTATACTCCTGCCTCCTCTTCCCTCTAAACGTATCATCCAACCCCTGCACTGTCCCAACACTATCTCCATACCCAAGTCCATCCTCTTCTACTTGTTCCCCCTCCATGTCCTCGTCCGCCTCAGCCTCGATTTTACTCACACTCAGCTCAGGTATCGGTGTCCGCCCTGTAAGAATATCGAATAGACTATCATCCGAATCCCCTTGCTCATCCTCATCATCATGCTCAAAGCGCAGAATCTTGTCTTTGCCCTCCGGCCACACCAGTACGTGTGCTTGTTGATGGGCAAAGATGAACGCTGGTTTCTTGTCTGGTGGGGTGAAGAGCCAGGATATTGTCCAGCGGGGTGGCAATGAACCAGCTGGTTTGGTGATTTGTGGGGACATGGTTATCATGGCGGGTGGATGTGGGAAATGCGTAGATGCGAGAGCCGTTGAGGAAGACGAGGTAGAAGACGGGGGTATGTGGGATGATGCGGCTGTATATAGGTATACGGTGGGTTCGTCTTGAGTAGTTTGTATGATTAGACGATGCGGGTCGGTAGGGTGCCAGAGCAGGTTCTTAATAGGGCTGTATTGGATTAATACACAACGCGGTCGGAGACTTGTTAGATCCCATATCCACGCGGTGCACGGTGTGCTGTCGTCGCGTGTTGCACACAACGTGCCATCTGCGTTGAAAGTCAACATGCCGATGCCTTGCTTCATGAGCCCTGTTTCACTCTTATCCAAGGCAGCTTTCGGAGGGGTCACAGGCTGCTGAGTGGTCGTATAGCTGCGGTTGCCTTGGCCATCGACATGTTCGCTGTATACCGGCGCACTAGGTACGTCGATGACGGGTGTGTGGTCGAGGAAGACGATGGGTGCGAAGGTACGTGTAGAGAGGATGCGAACGCGACGGTCCCACCCACCAACTGCCAGACGTTGATTCCCGGGTAACCATTCGAGTGTCTTGATACCCAGGCCCTCAACATGCCACTCGCTAACGTCGTCCGAGGGTTCGCGGGTTATGGTGCGATACAAATGTCCGTCGGCAGTGTAGACGTGCAGTTTATAACCAGCAGAGGCCGTGTCCCAGACGGCCAACCAGCGGCCGTCACGACTCCATCTGAGGCCTGCTGCGTCTGAAGTTGTCAACTCTACACGATTGAGAAGCTTGTATGTACCCGGCGCCAAAAGAAGTAGAATATCAGCGGCTGCTGCGCGACATAGTAGGGCCAAAACACCACCTCTTCTCCTTGCCGCGCCTGCCTCTGTATCCTCAGAAGGGCGATATCCCCACCCCTTGCCGTCTTTACCCAGAAATTTGGGGTCACGTATCTCCACGGCTCTCCCAGTTTTCAGACACCATATCTTGACGGATGCGGCGAAGTCACTCCAGACAAGTACTTCATCCTCATTGGCGCCAAACTCGGCGTGTACATTCTTGCCCATGCCGCCTGAGCCATTGCTAATGACAGCGTTCCACCTCTCGTCTCGAAGATCGTATACGCGTGTCGTGTCATGATCGGATAGCAGGACGCGGTTCGAGCAGGGGCGTGGTGTCCGCGACGATCGGCGGGGAGGTGTTGAATTGAGTGAACGGCTCAAGATCGAGGTCGCTAATGGCGGTGTAGTAGGAGGCGACCAGGCGATCCTTGAGCTTCTCAGATCCTGAATAGAAGGTATCGCTATGCTCTGGACAATTTCGAGCGTGGTGAGACATCGTATCTGCAAGCGAGCGCCGTTGAGGCAAGCAACGTGTGTTGCCGTCGGCGACGGGACAGAGACATTGGTTGCTAGCACTAGTCAGTAGCGATCGCATACCATGGCTTCGTATCATGGCTTGCATTTGAATTTTGTCGTCACGAATATGTCTTCCATCTTGTCGGTAGGCTTGTTGGATGCGACGAGAATGTTTAGATTCGGTAAACAAAGGGCAGGTGCGAAGGCTGGCCAATAGGAGTTCAAAGTGGCCGCAATTAGCGTGCTTGTCGTATGTGAAGCGCGAGCGTGCCCACCAAGGAGCGATACAAACTCTCATGTCTACACAGGTAAATTTACCAGAGCCATGTGAATTTTGTTCCACGATACATAGAAAATATGTTCCTATACAAATCTCAACCGTAACAACAGCGAGGGTATCGGCGTGCACTTCCAAATCTACCAACGAAACGCTCAAAAATACGCCATCATTCGTCCATGGGTATAACTTGGATATGGATCCAATCTGAGAGCCCAATGCTGCTATAGAGAAGTGAAGAAGGAAATCATCCAAACGCTTGCTTGCTAGATCGCTCAATTCAAATCATCCACCTCGTTGTCGTCACCACTCAAGTGCTGTACACTGGAGCCTTGATCAAGATGCTCTTTCCACGAATCTGTACCGCGACACCGACGGCCATGCGCACGCGTGGTGGTGGAGACTCATCTTTTGGTCCCCCAGAGCTGCCCGGTGGATGTTGCGTAAGACTTTGCTGGCTGCCACCTTGACCGAGAGACGATTCTCGCTTGCCCAGGGTAGCAGGAGAAGCCGTCGCCTTCTTTGATGCACCAAATCCGAACATACCGCGCTTCTTATCTTCTTTTTGCGGCTGGCCTCCTTGTAGCTGTGCTTGCTCTTGTTCGATAATGGACATGTTGTCGTCAGGTCTAGATGCCATGCTTCTGATCGAAGCTCTATCCGCGTCATCCAACTCCATAATGGGTGCTGTTAATGCGGGGATGCCGGATTCCAGCTTCATAAAGTCGGCGACGATGCCGTGACCCGGAGGGAAGTATTCAATATGTACTTCGCGGCTCTCAAGCGGTAGATGCTGAGCAATGCTGATGGCCAATTCGATGATCATAGGTACGCCTCCGTTGAGGTCTGCCGGCGCAGGGTCGTTCAAGTGCATCTGGAGAGATGCGATGAGTTTCTCATTGAGTGTTTCAGTCAGCGTTTCGCGATTGGAAGTGGCTTGTGGTGCTCTCAACACATCTGCCAGACCTTCCAGTGTCGCCAGCCGCCAGTTGATGATTTTCGCGGCAAGTGTGTCTTCGTCTTCGGTGCTGTGGCAAGGCGGCGAGAACTTGCGGATATTCGAAACGATCGATTGCAGCTGTGTTGAAAAGCCCGGCTCTAGGTCCGGATGGAAGTACTTGTCGAATATGTTTTCTACCAACCAATGCGAGATGAAGGCACGGCCGACAGCCGTCATCTCCTGCTTGCCTGTCTCGACGGCAGTTTTGTTGACCACGACATGCAACCACTGCGGTATGGTTTTCCAATCCTTGCGGATCGAGAAGGATAGCTGTGCGATCAATCCATCCAGTCGATTGAAGCGCGTTGCGTATTCGCTGTCGTCCCAAGATGTGCGGGAGAGCGACAAGCGCTGATTTGCGAGGGTGTTTTGCAGCTGATGAACCTGTGACTGTTGCTCGAAGAAATATCGCTTGACCTTTTGGTACTTTTCGCCTGTACAAAGTCAGGTGAGTCAGTTCATTGGATGGGAACCCACTTACGCAGAACATCGTGCTCCTTTTGCAGCTTCTCGACATCTTCCTCTGTCATATCGGCGACGGAGGTTCTTGGCGGAGGCGTTGCCCGTCCCATTTCTGAAACCTGTTGGCTCTGCTTCTCGCCGCGATATGGCTGCCCCTGTGAAGCTGTTGGTACGACGTTAGCGTCGAATGTTGCGAGGCCCGGCGAGACAGGCGGCTGATTGAGTGGCTGACCTTGAGCGGGAGGCTGTGAAAGTAGGGATGACTCTCTGGACGGTTGCCCTGGCTGCGGTTGGCTGCCGCCGTCGACCACTTTTCTTAGCGTGTTCCTCGCATTACTCTGAGCACTGGGAGCCATGTTGTCCTGCGACTGGTGTGGGGGTGTTATGTTTGTCGGTGGGAGATCGGAGGGTTGCGTGTGCTGGGCGTCGTATGTCTGGTAGGACGGCGGCTGGAGGGGAGACGGCGGGGCCAGCTGGTGGGACGGAGGAGCCTGGCGTTGTTGCGACTCGATCTTCTGGGCCTCTTGCGCAATCTGGGGATGCTGCGAGGCTGGTCGCACAGATTGAGGCTGTTGCTGTGGGTCTTGGTGCGGCTGAAGCTGCTGCGCAAACTGCTGTTGCTGTGGGTAAAGAGTAATTTGTTGGGCACTTTCTAGCGACTGCTGGTACAGGTGGTAAGTTTGCGGGATGTCCTGTGGTACCTGTCCACCTTGGCCATGCGGCTGAGCGTTCTGGAGGAGGGGGCTTGGCACGTTTTGCGGGTTGAAGGCCTGGTAGTCGGTCGCGGGCTGTGGGGGTGGGGGTGGAGCGGCAGGCTGGTAGGTTTGGTATTGGTGTTGCTGGTGTTGCTGGTGGTGGTGGTGGTGGTGGTGTTGTTGGTGTTGTGGGTGCTGTTGATGTTGCTGTTGCTGCTGTTGCTGTTGTTGCTGCTCAGAGCTGTATTGATCTACCCCGCCTTGGGTCGAATAGCTGCCCTCGGTGCTTACCCTGCCAAGTGGGGGCCGATTGTACTGTTCCTGGTGCGGCGGCGGCACAAGTTGTTGTTGAGGCTGCTGCAGCTTCTGCTGGTATTGGACGTCTTTGGGCGGCACCTGGGGCGTCTCGTTGTCGTCTTTCTGGAGGAAGGGGTCGAGGTTGTCCTCGTCCTGCTCGTTGGAGGCGGGCAGGTGGGACGTCGAGCCTTGGTGGTGCTGATGCCACTGCTGCACACGACTGTCTTCCTGCGCTTGGTACTCCTGCACGCGGGGGTCACTCTTCCGGACGGATTGGCGTCTACCCAGGCCGTTCTTCTGTGCTTTGGCCTCCTGGTCCTTGTGGCCCTTGACTCCGGCTGCAATGCGACTGCGCAGCGACTGCTTCTTGGGCTCGGGCACGTATGCCGCGGACGAGGGCTGGGCTTGATAGGCGCCGCGGTGAGGCGACTCGAGAGCAGATGCGGGCGGAGGCCCAGCTTGTTGCTGGTAGTTCTGCACCGCCGGCGGCGGCGATGACGGCGACGACGACTGGCCCAGGGAGAGATGGGCGCTCAGCCTGTGGCTCGTGGTGCGCTGGGGAAACTGCTGCTCCCTATATTGAGGCTGCGGTGGTTGCACAGGTGGCTGCTGAATCTGCACAGGTGCTGGCTGGCTGCCGTCTGGATTTTGGTATCGCTGCTGGCTTGCGACCTGTTCGTTCACTGACAGCGCTTGACTGTCAGCCGGGGCGACGATTGGCCGGCCAAAAGGTTCCTTACCAGATGGCGCAGGCGAATGCTGCCCTGACGAGGAATTGTCGACAGATTGGTGCGACCGGTTCGACTTGGTCCATGGAAAGTTAGGCATCGCAGTGTTGGCAGCTTCAAAGCTCCGCCAGCAAGCAGGTTGTCGATGGCGGGGCGGAGACAGACGCGCTCAGCTAATAATAAAACAAGACTGAGCAGCCGTCAACTACGCCGGGTAAGACTGCATTGCGCGCGGTTGGACAGCCTCAACTCAAGTACAATGCATCGAGCTCCATAGATGCACGCCGTAGGCTGATCAGCCCAAGCCCTGCCGCACGTGCAGGCCGGGAGCAAATGGACTGACATGGACAAGGCAACACCAGTCCCGCTCCAGCTAACACCGGAACAACTTGCTGATGTCGCGACATCTGGTGCCGTGGCAGTGCTGCCTCGACCACTGCTACTGCCCGTCAGACCACCCAAAGACTGTCAATGTGCTTCTAGCTATTCGACATTTCATCCGTCCCGTCTTGTGGCTGCCACTCCCGCGCCTCAGTAACACGTCCAGACAACAAACACGTCTGAACCTAGATACGTATGCTGTGCCCAAATCCTGGCGGATGGTAACCTGCAATAACAGCACCAAGTGGGGACTACAGGTCTTAGTGTAGGCGGCGTTGCGAGCCTTCTTTCATTAACCTGTCTGGAGCTGCAGGCGCCCCTGCGTACCAGCTAGGGTGTGCATACATCGCCTTCCCAAGATTATACCAAAATACTGATATGCTTCTCAACACCTCTCCTCGTACATTTCTCGTGATGCAAAGTTTGACCCTCCGACGGCCACATTGCCACAGGTCTGAGGAAACGAATGCCTCAGGTAACAAACTGTATCAAAACCCTCCGTGACTACCAGAGCGAGCAAATTTGAATACGGGCCACAACTGCATGCTGCTTCCTCAGCTCTGGCAAACAACATGCAGCTATTTTTGGCGTCTTACATGCCCTAACCTCGTTGGACTAGCTCGGTATCGCTTCGGTCGTGATGCCTGTGTGAGGTTCCCTAAACGTCCGCTATTACACCACTTCTGTACAAACGTAGAAAAGCTGACTGTCAGCCACTTCTGCAAGCAATTTACTAAAACTCAAATTTTGGCGTTTGCGGTAATCACCGGCACTGTTCGGTCATATTTGAACTGTGACCGGACAGCAGGTCGACGCAAAGGTACCTAAGCATGTCGGTCGAAGCGGGTATGCGCGCCTCCTCGGAGGTGCCTAGATAACTCCTATCTGCACGAGTACGACACTGCAAGGAACGACTTTAGTTTGGGAAATTGTCCCGCGCCTTCTTTCCTTCAATGGCGCATGCACAGAGGTAGCATTAATTGACGACCCACCACAGTGTATCTACTACTGGCCTGCTCAGGCTGTAGGTACGAATCAAGTTGACAGCACGGGTCTGACGAGTTACCTCGACCAACCAGTATTCTACCAACTACAAGCAATAGCAATACTGCCCAGCTATAAACTTCGAACTTTGGATGCCAGACGAACATTGCAGGTGCTTTACCATGGTAAGTGCACTGACAGAGTTCCGAACTACGGCAGAATGTAGACAAACTATGCTCCAGAGGCACCGCTCCTACACAAGCCACTCTACTACATTTCAGGACCCGTTTAGGCATCAACTCTCTCTATGAGCGTCTCCCAGTGAAGACGGCGCCCCGCAAAGTCCAAATCCTATTTGTATCTTTTGGCGCGAAAGCCATCTCATCCAGCTTGCTAACACCATCAATCGTTTCTTTGGAGAGGGACCACAATTTGAGAGAAGCTCTCCGGAATCAGTCTGATCTGTGTACTCCATTCGAGTCGTCCACAGACCTTCTCTAGCTTATCGATACTCGCTACCCACCGAAGAATCAACTCAGAAGCCGGCAATATTCCGATCCAAAGTAAACAGTCACTAGCGAGGGTCTTGCGCAGGTCATTACTAACAGCATATTGCTGGTTGTTCCAAGATGGATGATATGGTCACTCACTTCTCACACGCTAGTACTGCCTTATGGAGGGATGAGAGGCTACTTCTGGACTGTCGCACGCTCAGAGTTGGGTTGATACCATCTTTAGAGACCGAAACTATGTATCGACTATTTCATATAGCGGTACATAACTCCCTCCCTCGGTCGAACCACAGCAGATATGCAGTACTGAGAAGCTAGGGTGGAGACTCTACAGAGTGATTCGTACACGAGGTCCTCGTCAGGTTTGGTGTCACGCGTACGCGTGACTGGCCCTGAACATTATATGCTTCCACGAATTGACCGGCATCTACATCTCCGTATGGGTGAGTTAACTCCTCGAGGGAAAAAGCGCGTGACAACTTTTGGTCCTTGGAGGAAGCGAGTGTTGCGAATTGGTATCGTTGCACGCCCACCTTGTTCATTTAAAGTAGAAAAGTCATTGGTTACCAAGAGCGAGACGATGAATGGGCGAAAGGCGGGAGGTGTTGATCATGGCTTGAATAGCAGCATAGAAAAGGAAGAATTACATCTCGCAATACTCAAACTAAATCTCAGTTCCTCTTTCACTTCACTTTCGAGCCTAAACGCTCATTAGTGTTGGTTTGCATCCAACAATTAGTCAGTACGCGTTTGTCGGTCTGACAATTTTCCATCGTTCATTTGTCTACCCAGTCCATACCGCTTTGTGACTCAACACTACGAGTACATGTCGAATTCGGTTTGTAAGGCCATTCCTTAGACAGAAGGCTCTGAGAATTCACAAGTCATGGCATCAACTGCCAACGCAATACCCGCATCAGAGCTGCCAAAAAGGCTGCTACCAACAACCGTACGCCAGCCACTATCCTCACTACTATACCCAAAGATTGCAACAGCATCATCATCACATGAGGTCCCGCTTCAGTCGCCAACAGTCCCCCACTCAGGCAAGCGGCTACCATCCCCATCTAAATCCCCATCAATCACGCATCCAGAATGGCCGCTATCAACTACTGCACCAAGATTTATACCAGTCTTTGTCTTGTTCCCCACTCCAGAGCTGATGTCACCATTATCAACGACATCACCGTTTCCAACAAATCTGCTACCTCGTCCCCAACCTGTGCAAACCGGAAGTTGCATATCTCGCCTCTTTATGCGCGCACCTGCTCACCCATACGATGTGGAACTTGGTACGTTTCCGCAGCGCCGTATACGGGAGGCTCGCGTCATGAATATGGGAGACGAGCAGAGGAGGAGGGATGCAAGGGTGATTAGTATCAAGATTGCAGGAGCGATGCTGGTAATTATCGGGTTTTGGGTATTGGTGGGCCTGGAGGTCTGGAGGAGACAAAGAGGTGAAGGTTACGATGGGATCGAAGGTAGGGAAAGACGGTCGTAGACATGTCGAGATAAACGAACCGAGGGCACGAAATTGTATTTTCTCTTGTACATTACAAAAGAAGTCGAGGAACACAGCCTCTCTCCATGTATGATCAATCACCAGAGCTGATGTTCTATATACATGGAACGTATGCGCTCTTTGTATAACTCAGATCGGCGTTCGAGCCCGCTTTCACTCTCACTCTCACTTTCACCTTCGACATAATTATTTGCGTAAGTTTTGACCTACCAAATTCAACATGATCATCTTCTCTGCTCTCCACAGCGCCTTTACAAATTTTGAGGCTTTATCATCCAGCAGTGTCTCTTCGCCGGCCCCAGAGACGGTATCGACTGAAGCATATAATATAGACCATATCACTCTTCAAATGGCAGATACAGAGCGAGAAGACGTTGTGTCCGACAAGAACCAATCCATTGCGGAATTTTCTGAGATACCTGACCACAATCCAACACCACACCATCACCTCGACCTCTCAACTACCCGCCATGTCCCCAACAACAATACTGTCACTACCGCGACGAAATTAGACACCCCAACATTGGTCGCACCCAAAGACAAGACAAGCATCGGGCCTCAAGTCCCATCAGAGCGACACATTAATCACGCCAACATCACCAACGTCAACACCAACGCCAGCGACGTTGAGCTGGGCTCACTGCCAAATTCGACCGTTACAACACGGTGTTACTACTCGCCGTCCTCCTCTTCAGCAGCAAATACTTTTCAACGTCAACGGACTCGGAGGATCCTCCATTACGTCATGCTGGCTTTGGCCGGAATGGTGGTGATTGTTGTTGTGGCTTGCGCCATCGTTTATGTGGTCGCTTCACCGAAGTTTTCGAGGGCATCGTGAGGTGACATTGGGTGGGGGCGGATGACATGAGAGAGGATGAGATGGAAGACTGAGCAATTAGCGATCAGGAAAAAGAACTAGACAAGGTCCAGTCTCGACGGCTTGAGCAAATACAAAGACTTGAATAATTATCGCCAAAGAATGGACATTCGGGTTGCTAGATGGTATCATTTGCTGCGCATGCATGAGTTGAGTGCGTCGACTATTGTTGTACCTCTTCCACATATCCCAAGGCCTCTCCGACCTTGACCTTCATCCCCTGTTCAATATTCCACTTGAACCCGCCTTTCCTCTCCGTGCCAGTGAAGCCCTCGTCAAGACTGGGTCTTAAGCCCTTTGGCGCTTCGAAGACCAGTACGATGGTGCTTCCCAGCTGGAAACCGCCCATCTCTTCACCGCGCTTGAGAGAGTGACCACCCAATACGCGACTAGCTGAGGTGTAAGAGGCCTCGGCGAATCCTGAGTAGGGTTCGCCTCGCGCAGCAGCTTCTTCGGCGGCACGGTCGGCGGCAGTATCGGTGGTGAGGCTGTTGGTGCGGAGTTCGCGATCGAAGTTGATCTTGATGGAGCCGACGTTGGTTGCGCCGACAGGTGTATAGGAGAAGAACCCCCATCGCCAACGACCGAGTAGCACGACGCGCTCGTTCAATGTGAACAGGCCGGGCATGGTGCGTTGCAGGTATGGCGATACGCTGTACAGTTCACCAGCGAAGTGGCGACGCGATTCGACGACCCACGATACGGGAGAATGGAAACGGTGGTAGTCTCCTGGTGCGAGGTATACGACGCAGTAGTAGAGTGCTGTGGGTGTCTTCTGAGACGCGGGAGCCCACCAGGGGCGCTCAGCTTCACTCAGGGCCATCTCTGCGCGGACCTCAGCTTCTGAAGAGGCGGCCGGTGCGGTAGATTGATCGGTTGGCATTTCTGCTGGCTTTCCGCCTTTTGGCCATGGCCCCGAGAAAAGGTTGGGGAGAGTGTAGGAGATGCCGTTCACGTTGGCAAATTCCTCGTCGGCACGGACCGTGTCTTCTTCGTCCTTGGCTGTCTTTTCGTGCTCGCTGGCAATGACCTGCGAGCCTGCGACGTTCTGGGCGGGCGTACTTGGCTTGGTGGAGCCTAGGAGGGCGTCCAGGCTGTATGTCACGCCCTTGACTTGCTCGACTTCGCCGTGCTCGATGGTGCCGAATTGGATAACCTTGCCGTCTGCGGGGGACAGGACGGCGTTGGGGTTGGGATCTAGAGGGCGGACGCCGGGTTTGAGGGTGCGGTAGAAGAAGGCGGCAAGATTGGGGTAGACATGGAGATCAGGCTCTGAGACCTCGGAGAGATTGACGCCGAAGATCCACGAGTAGAGCTTGAAGCCGGGGACTCGGAGGTAGTAGGGAATGTCAATCTCGTTGAAGCGACCCCAGACGCGCGAGAGGGCCTTGAGCGGCAGCGTGGACATGACCTGGACTGTCCATGGCCCGCTCGGCCGTATCCTCTCGCGCTTCTTGGGCCGGCCCTGGCTGTCTGGCGCGCCCTCGTCGCCATGCTGCCTCTGGGCCTCTGTGTGCTTTTCCCGGCGCTGTATGCGGTACAGCTGGAATGCGCCGAGGAAGCCAATGCCCAGGGCTATCGGGATGGGCTCCCACTTGATCTTGGTCTTGTTGAGCGCCGCGTTGAGCCGGGACCGGAACGACTCTTTGCGGTGGAAGTTCTGCTTGTCACATGTTGCGCGGGTCGACGAGAAGGTGCGTGAGGGGACTGAGAGGCGCGCATTGGGGCATGTGTGGGTAGCGAAGCGCGGGCGCAGAGGAGCCCGCATGAGCTGGCGTGAGCAGGGAGACGCCATGGCTGTGGCTTAATGCATCGCCAACGAGCAATTCCCCAGCAGAGATGGCAGGCAAAGGCGTCGCGTGGTGGAGGGAAAATCCACCTGCTCGGTTGAGCTAATGACGTATCCACCTGCGGCGGCTCTCTAGCGCGCACCCGCCATGGCTCCGCACGTCGCCATCGTCCACCGTCGACTGCTGGCTGCATCGCGTGTGCCCAAAGTCGGAACATCTGGCACATCGGGACGGCGGCCCAAGTTGACGTCGGAACTGCTCTGGCAACAAACAAGACCACCGTAGATGGCAGGCGTGACCGTGGCTCCCAAGGTTGTTGACACCGAAGCTCGACAGCGGACACGTCGTCACTTCTCTACTCCCATCCATCTGCACACTTGGCCTCTCCCCATAGTCTGCCGCTACCCACACAGCGACCATGGCGGAAGAAGCGCAGACCATCAACCTCAAGATCCTCTCCCCCTCGACTGAGGTGGAGGGCGGCGTGAATCTCGCAGACGTACCCGCTTCAACCACTGTCAAGGAGCTTCGCAGCCGCATACAGGATGCGGCGCCCTCCAAGCCTGCTCCTGAACGCATGCGCCTGATCTACCGGGGGCGGGTCGTGGCCAACGATGCCGACACACTGAGCAATGTGTTCGGTCTTGACAACGTAGGATCGCCAATCGCAAGCAGCAGACATGGGCTAACGGTGAATGTAGATTCGTGAGAGCAAGGACCAGAGCCTCCATCTGGTACTACGAGAGCTCCCTACTGCTGGGAACCCTTCAGCATCGCCTGCTCCGCCGTCTTCAACCGTTCCGCCCAATCTTGTGCGTCCCCAAGCTCCAGCTCTGCCTGCAAATCCGCTTCAGACGAACCCGTTCAGGACGCTGCCGCAGACTCGACCAAATTCAATACCACCATTGCCGCAACCCCACCAGCACCACCTCCCGGGAGCCCAAGCACACGTGATCCCCATTCCTCTGCCTCAACAGGTACAGCACCAACTTGCTCACGCCATGGCACAGCAAGGACAACAGGACAGCGAGCGAGTTCCAGACCCGACATCTGAGCAGCCTGGACAAGAGACACAGAGACCTGCCGATGCCGCTCAGTCGCCGCTTCCCGGTGCAACGCCTCTGCCAGCAATGGGGCTACCCAATCTTCCCGGCCATGGCGACCAACCACTGCGGCGGGAAGGTGTTGGACCCAATGGGGCGCGGTGGACAGTCACATACAACCACGTCAACCTACCTGCGCGAGTTCAGCAGCCTCTTCCTGCATTTGCTCTTCCACATCCACTGGGCTTCGCTCGTCCACCAATTCCACCAGGCCTTCTTCCCTCAATGGGCCATGACAGTGCACAGCGCTTATTGCCACGGATTCAGACCATCTTCCAGGAAACACAACGGGAGATGGAAAATGTTCGTACGCTACTACAGCCCACGCGCGAGCCAAGCACACAAACCGATCGACCTTCGATATCAAACCACCTCCCCTTACAGCTCCCTATTTGGCGAATTGACTACATACGCCAACACCTGAACACGATCAACCAGAACCTGAACGTTGTCGAGCGGGCTCTTTCCCTCCTGCCTACCGAACCGGAAGTGGTAGCGCTACGACGTTCGGTTACCGAAATTAGGGTAGATGCGTTAGAATTGAACATCATACTTGATCGGCAACAGGGTGGTCCTATTTCCAGTCAACCAAGCACCCTAGCTACATCCACGGATCCGGCGACCGCTGGTGTATTCACCGGCACAATACCAGGTGCTCCGGTCATGACGCCAGCCGTGCCAACTACATCACAATCACGAGTACAGAATGCTACGCAGACTTCGTCTGCAGATGCACCAGCCGAGTTGTTCCTCTTATCCAGCCCACAAGGACCTGTTGGTCTTCTCTTTGACCATCAAGGCACATACACTACGGCTCCTATGGTATCCACAATGCCATTCCAGAGCTTCACGACCCAATTTGTCCAGAATAGACAGCTTATTGCTGGGCTAGGGCAGCACATGGCACAAGGATCGACCCAGCTGCACAATCAACTGGCAAACCTCCAAGCGACACCACCACCACCACCACAACAACCAGAGGCTGGTGGTCAGGCTTACAATCAGGACCAAGCGCACAATCAGATGCAGAACCAGAACCAGGATCCGATTGCAAATGCAAACGCGAATGCGAACCAACCAGAAGAGAATGATCGTATGATCAACGTTTTTGGGCACTTGTGGCTCATTTTCAAACTGGCTGCATTTGTCTACTTCTTTGCAGGAGGTGGTGGTCTCTATAGGCCCATCATGCTCGGCATTGTTGCCGGTGTGGTTTATCTGGCACAAGTAGGTGTGTTCCAAGACCAGTTCAATCTTGTACGTCGTCACTTCGAGGCCCTGCTTCCCGTAGGGGCCCTGGCCGACCGTGTGGCTCAGCCCAACAACCAACGCCAAACGCAGCAGCGAGGCAACCTATCGCCTGAGGAAGCGGCTAGGAGATTATTGCAGCAGAGGAGAGACCAAAGATTTGGGTGGATCAGAGACAGCATGCGCACTGTCGAACGCGCTTTTGCTCTATTCGTTGCCAGTCTGTTTCCTGGTGTTGGGGAGCGAATGGTACACGCGCAGGAGGAAAGGGAAAGACTTGAACGGGTGGCAGCTCAAGAAGAAAGGGAACGTCAGGAGGAAGATGCGAGGAGAAGGGAAGAAGAGGCTCAAGCACAGCGTGAGCAGAGAGATGAAAACAAGGCTGGAAACGATCTCGCGACGCATGAGAGATTGGATTCAAATGCGAGCGCCAAAGGCAAAGAGAGGGCGGTAACAGTGGAAGACGAACCCTCAGGCTCTGCTTCTTGATATTGGCGTGCAGTTTCATTACACTCATGTAGCAGTTTCCAAACAGATACCCATGCTTAGACGTCAAGACATACATCATACCCTCGGTCCACGGGGAGTATATCTCATCCGGCGCTACATTGCCTTTGACATATTATACGTCTCTGACCGCCAACCAGTGGAGAAAGCGCATGCAATGTTCACGGCGAGTCCAGCCTGGTTGCATCCTGTCGCAATGCGTGGCCGGGCCCGGGCAAGCTTCAAGTCAGCGGAAGTTATTCCGAGGTTTGAAGCTGGGGCGCCTGCCATGTACAAGACCAGGGTCCATGCTAGCTCACAATCAGCTAGCACACCTCCACACGCACGCGGATGCACCGAGGAGCTTTTCGGCGCGTTTCGTCTTCCTTTGTTCCGCCTTGCGTCGCATACCGTGGTCTTTGGGTCTGTTGTAGACATTGTTTCTGAGGCTCAGTGAAGAGAAAGAAGCCCAACTCAAATCCTCAGCTATAGAGACCTCGTGCAGCCATCCAAGCTATGCCGGCGACGCCCAGTTCAGACTACAGAACGGTCATATAGCGTTGCCGAACATAATAGGGCAAGGTCAAAGGAATGAACGTCAAACAAGCGGCATGTCTCAACTGCCGCAAAAGCAAAATTAAATGTCGGCGCACAGAGGGCGCGCCGATATGCGAGCGATGCCAGAACGTCGGCATCGAGTGCATCATTCCGTAAGTGTGCCTGTACGAACTGCATGTGAGATACACACTGACTTCGCATACCTTTCTTTAGCGAGTTTCACATTGGCAGACAAAAGGGTGTAAAAAAGTAAGTGATCAGTTCTGATCATGCCAACTAGGCTGACAATTTGGAAGCAAACGATCAGGCTTAGAGAAAGCGATATACCAGGTCGAGGAAGCCATTAAGAAGAGGAAGTCGGATGCAGCTACGAGTCAGAGTACGCTGCAGCAGCTGCAACAACTTCTAAACGAGGCACAAAGGGACGAGGACTCGAACCAGAACCAGAACCCGGACACGTCTCCGGCCTCAGAGGTGTACCCACAAGCATCAGCAAATAATCTCGTTGGTACTTCAAGCGATGACCAGCTCGCTGTTGAAGATGTCGAGAACCCGCTCCAGCTCCTCGCTCGGGCATCGGATCTACGGATTGCAACACCACAATCGTACAATCCGAGTACCGCCAGTCCAGAAGGCAGGTTCAATGGCAGCGAACAGAGCGCATTTCTTGACGTTCACCATTTTTTCCTGCCTATGAAGGCAAATCTTGATCAGGGCTCAGGATTGGATCCAATCGATGTTGGTCTTGTGACCAAGGATGAAGCTGAGATGCTTCTACAGTAGTAAGTTCGGCATCGACATCTTCATTGCAGATCCACCGAAGTGACTTGCAGAATCTAGTTTCCACAAAAAACTAGCGCATACGCGCTGGGGACTCGACCCGTTGGTACACACATTGCCTTTTGTCCGGAACCGCTCAGCCTTCTTGTTCACTACGTTACTAGCTATGACTGCCATCTTTCTGCCAGAAACCTCTGCTCTGGCTAAGCGGCTACTACTGCATCGCAGGTTTCTGGCAGAACAGGTCATCACTCGAAAGTACAGATCTGTCGAAATCGTGCTAGCTTTCATGGTCAGTATACCTTGGATGCCTCCAGGGTCGCATGCGAGCGATGATGATACCAGTCTCTACTTGGCTACAGCTCTATCCATCGCGCTGGACTTAATGCTGGATAAAGTAATCACACCGTCTATATCTTTCGACCAGGAAGTCGTTAGACAGATACCAAAGGCTGAGTGTCTCCACGCAAGGAAAGCACTTGCTATGGACGGCTTCGAAGATGTCGACCCAAACTCGGAATGGGGCCAACGACTTCTGCGGCGCAGAGAAAGGGTCTGGATCTCCCTATTTGTATTGGAACGTGGAGTCTGCCTAGCCCGCGGCCGTAGCTACTGTGTCCCCAAAACGTCTTTGATTCAGTACTGCGACAAGTGGCACTTCAATCAGTACGCTGATGCCCAGGACGGACCGCTCATATCGATGGCAGTACTCCGCCGCGATCTTGATGACCTCTTTGCTGAGGTGCGAACGCGCTGTGATAACTATCGTCTTGTCGAGGTGGGCTCAAAGGTCGCCCAAGAAATTGACGGGTCTATCGAAAGCTTCTTCGATAGCTGGTCTCGAGCTTGGCCTTCTGTGATCGCTGATCCAGAGAGTAAGAGTCTGCCTCCGTATGTCGAAATTCTGGTCACACATACACGACTTTCGACGTATTCAATGCTTCTTAATCACCCAAGCGCACCTCCAGAAGTCAAGCGGTCATTCCGCAAGTCGGCACTATCTTCTGCACTCAATGTCATGCGCGCGGCAATCCAAGGCGAGTCTCGTCTCAAGTCGATGCCGAATAACACAGTCACGATGATTTGTTTTGCTGCAAGCATAGCACTCGCTTTGAGTGCTCCTGTACCTGAGGGTAGTGGAAACAAGAAGAGCCTTGCCCCAAGTGTTCGACATCTCATCGAAGACACAGCAACGGTTCTTGAGCGTATAGGCAGCACACCAGTTCATCGAAACGGTGCCTCCGTTGTTTACGGTCGCTTCTTGCGCGTTCTCGTCAAGCAGGCGCCGGACATTGAAAGGATGATCCGATTGCCATCGCACGATCCTGCACCATCATCCATGGCCATACCAGACCTTCTGTCGCCGTCATATAAGGTGAATGAAGCATTGCCCGAGAACCACACGATGGGCCCGGATCCGATTTCTAGCTACTGGCCGGACACGCTTGACTTTTCGGCCATGTCGTACAATGAAGTCAACGAGACTGTGACCAACTCAGACCTGTTTTCAACGGCGCTGTTGGATCTGCCTTGGAATGACAGCAATCCATTATGGACGGACTGGATGAATCTGCCGGACTTCAACTTCCCGTAATGCTTGAGTGGCACAACCTCGGAATTCGCTAGACGCTAAACCTCATATGATTTCGCGGCAAATGAAGCCCCGCTCCAAGCTCCAAAGTCGCTCCATCTTCGGTAGTTGAAATGACGCCGACGGATGCCAGATGCATGACGTTACGCTACTGCGCGGTTGACGCACGCGTCTGATGACTCTCGTTCGGACATCAATCGCAAAGCTTTAGCCCGTATCTCGACAAGTCGGAGCTTCTTGAGCCTCCTTAACCTACGATTTAATTTGACTGCCTCTCCTGCTGCTGTTTTTTACGCGCCTCACAATGGACTCGCTACCTGCGTCATATAGGCTGCTTGCAGCTCTGCCATCACGGTTATGTTCCAAGCGTCCTCTCCCCGCACAATTACGAGCCGCGCGACTCCCACCGCGATGGCGGTTTGCAGGTCAGCTGCGCAGCATCAGTCAAAGCGCTCCGACAATTGACCGTTCGAAATCGAAACTTTTCAAAGATGCGGACGAAGCAGTCGCAGACGTGCAGCCGGGATCGACCGTCCTGAGTGCAGGCTTTGGGCTGTGTGGTGTAGCAGATACGCTCATTGGAGCGATGAAGAAACGCGGTCCACAATCATTACATTCTCTGACAGCCGTCTCCAACAATGCTGGCATTGAGGATGTAGGAGGCTTAGCGCATCTTACAAAGAACGGACAAGTCAAGAAGCTCATCATTAGCTTTCTAGGAAACAACAAGGCATTGGAGAAGCAATATTTGAGCGGTGGTATAGAGATCGAGCTATGTCCGCAAGGTACGCTTGCGGAGAGGATAAGAGCTGGCGGCGCAGGCATTCCAGCATTCTACACACCCACAGCCGTCAACACTTTACTGCAGGATGGAGAGATTCCCGCCAAGTTTGACAAAGAGGGAAAAGCTGTCGGATTCGGTCAGAAGAGGGAGGTCAGGGAGTTCAATGGCAAGAAATTCCTCATGGAGACTGCTTTGACCGGCGATGTCGCGATTATTCGAGCACACAAAGCAGATGAGGCTGGTAACTGTGTTTTCAGGTAACAACCGCGCTATCCAATGCTGTGTACACTATGGCTAACACATCCAAAAGATACACCACCAAAGCGTTTGGCCCGATCATGGCCAAAGCTGCCCGCCTAACCATCGTTGAAGCCGAAGAAATCGTCCCAATTGGCACCTTTGATGCAAATGACATTGACCTCCCTGGTATCTTCGTCGACCGCATCGTTCCCTCTACAGCACCCAAAAACGTCGAGATCAAGAAGCTTCGAAAGCCCGCTGCTTCCATAGACACATCCTCCAAGAACGAGGCCGCAGAGCGTCGCGACCGAATCGCTCGACGGGCGGCGAAGGAGCTGAAACAAGGATACTATGTCAACTTGGGTGTCGGGATTCCGACGGCAGCGGCGTCTTTCGTGCCCGATGGTGTGAAGGTGTGGCTGCAATCCGAGAACGGTATTCTAGGCATGGGCCCTTACCCTACCGAGGACGAGCTCGACCCAGACATCATCAACGCGGGCAAGGAAACCGTGACGCTTCTACCTGGCGCTTCAACATTTGACTCTGCAGAGTCATTCGGCATGATCCGTGGTGGCCACGTTGATGTCTCTATCCTAGGCGCCCTTCAAGTCAGCGCATCTGGTGACCTAGCAAATTACATGGTCCCTGGAAAGGTTTTCAAGGGCATGGGCGGCGCTATGGATCTCGTCAGCAACCCAGAGGCTACCAAGGTGGTAGTGGCTACTGAGCATGTTGCCAAGGATGGATCGAGCAAGATCGTCCAGGAATGCAAGCTGCCTTTGACCGGAGCCAAGTGCGTCAGCACCATTATTACGGATATGTGTGTGTTTGAGGTGAACAGGAAGCGAGGTACTTTGACCCTTACAGAGACTGCGCCTGGTGTTAGTGTGGAGGATGTCAAGGCGAAGACAGATGCGAAGTTTGAGGTTGCGCCGGACGTCAAGACCATGGAATAGGACTCTCTCCGTGGTTTGCTGGCGTATGTAGTATGCTTTAGCGATCGATACCATTAGCATCAGTTTGCAAAGCGATTGCGTGAGATCAGGGTACGCTCCATGATCGCGGTGCAGTGAACACGTCACCGTCCAGTGTGCTGAATGATGATCCTGTGCGTTGTTTTGACTATGACGATCAGCTCAATCATGTGACGGAGAGCTGCGCAGTTTTGCTGGAAAAACAAAGCATCGCGATTGCGACAACGTGATCGTTGGTTCTCCAAAGAACAACTTTGGTGCTTTTGTGTATTGCGATACCACCTCCGGTATTGCAGCCTGGAGACAGCATCGAAATTAGCTACAATGGTATTCTGCGACACCGTTGACGATCTCCCAACGCAGCGGGTTTTTCGTCGCGGTAGCCATCCGACATTCGGGGCAGCCAAGTCGTCCAAGCGGGGCTTAAAGGCTTCGCACTGCTTGATGGGCCCCTCGGCCCTCTGCGACGAAAGCTTGGTTCTGCTGATCAAACCATAAACTCTACCAACACCCACAACCCCACCAAAAAAACATGCAGCGTCATGGCGACCATCTGATGCATCTTCCGCCGTTATTCGTATCTCTCCATGATGACAAACACTCGGAAACAGAACAACTCCCGCTCGCACGCGTCGAGTCAGTCACGCTGTCGTCAAGCCTGCCGATCGCTTGTCTGCCTAAGAGCGCTATGCTTGTTTCCAGCACAAGCTCGAGTGCGTTGGGGTAGGTTCACCCAACGGCCGAGCAACTCCGCCAATGACATGCCAGATAAAGCCGATTGTGCCGCAACCCATGCGCCCGCCCCCATGGGGTCAGATAGGGTAGCCCTGGTCGCTTTTTGCTAGGGCGGTGTGCGCTACGAGTTACCGTTGGGGGATAAGAAAGCTGGTCTCTTCTTCTTCCTTTGAGCTGGGAGCTCACGCTGGACCTCCAACGCCCGGTTCACTTTTACTTTCGGTACTTTGACCGGTTGCGAAGATGAGCCTTGATAAGATGCACGACGAGAAACTCGAGAACCGGAGCGGAAGTGAGCAGTTGGAGGCGGGGTTCGGTGACGACGACCGGGTTGCGAAGAAGTTGCTGTTCAAGATGGATGTTCGGTATGTCAATGTTCTCTTCTGCCCTGAATGCCCTGGAGACCAGGGTGCTAATGACAACAGCATCTTACCTGTCCTCGCTCTCCTCTTCTTGTGCTCATTCATCGACCGCACCAACGTCGGCAACGCAAAGATCTTGGGCCTGGAAAGAGACATCAAGATCAACGACCACCAGTACTCCATCGGATTGTGCGTCTTCTACGCTACATACATCGCCAGTGAGCTGCCGTCGAATCTGGTGCTCAAGAAAATGTCACCCAAGATATGGCTTCCATTTCTGACATCGGTGTGGGGCATCTTGACCATGTGCCTTGGTTTCGTCACCAACTTCGCTTCTTTTGTTACTGTCCGCGCGTTGCTTGGTTGCGCGGAGGGAGGTCTGCTGCCCGGTATGGTACTCTACCTTGCTGGCTTCTACCGTAGGCAAGAGCTGGCTCTACGCATCGGTATCTTTTACACTGCCGCATCGTTATCTGGAGCTTTTGGTGGTCTGCTAGCCCGAGGTCTCAACGCGATTGGTCCTGCTGGAGGACTTGAAGGGTAAGTGATACGCTTGCAGCCTTTTTTTTCTACAATCTAACTTAATTCGGCAATAGCTGGCGCTGGATTTTCATAGTGGAAGGGCTTTTGACCGTCCTTGTCGGTGTATGCTCCGCGCTCTTCTTACCCAACTCCATCGAATCCGCCAAGTTCCTTACGCCAAGTGAGAAAGAACATGCGCGATTCCGGCTTGGTGAGCAGAGTTCGTCTCACGAACGCTTCGACTGGGCAGAGGTCAAGCGCGGAGTTCTCAACGTCCAAGTTTGGCTTACTGCAACGGCGTACTTTGCAATCCTCAGTGGGCTCTACAGCTTTGGTCTCTTCCTCCCAACCATCATCAACAACGGGTTCGCCAAGGATCCCAATGAAACACAGCTCTGGACTGTCATTCCCTACGCTGTAGCATCAGTCTTCACAGTGGCAGTTGCTTTACTATCAGATCGTCTTAACCTACGCGGTCCGATCATGTTATGTACCCTGCCCGTTGCTATCATTGGCTACGGCGTTATAAGCCAGACTACCAACCCCAAGGTTCAGTACGGAATGACCTTCCTTATGGCAACTGGCATGTATGCCACTGTGCCCTGCATTCTATCCTGGAACAGCAACAACTCTGCTGGACACTATAAACGCGCCACTACTTCTGCACTCCAACTCGCGATTGCCAATGCGGGGGGTTTCGTCGCAAGTTTCGTGTACCCAAAGAGTGAAGGGCCATACTTTCACAAGAGTCATAGCATCATGCTGGGCTTGCTTTGCGCAGCTTGGGTACTGTAAGTTGACCTGGTTCGAGATATCGCCATTGTGTGAAGATGTACTTACCATTACCTTACAGGGTCGCTGCAAATGTTGCGTGGGTATGGAAAATCAACAAGGATAAGGCGAGCGGGAAATATGCCGAATATGAGGGTAGAGGCGATGACCGTGATCCGGACTTTGTTATGGTCATGTAGATGAAGAATGATATGACTCTCTTCGATCGAAGAAAAAACACCCAAGGGCTACTCTCGATATATTGAAATGAACCGTAGCCTCCCAATGTCGTTCTGATTAGCGTGGAATAGCATTGCTCTTGTTATTTGAGAAGACGGGCAGGTATGATTTTGCTTATCGGGAATTTTAGTACTGTACGAATCAGAACAATCATTACAGTGGCATGTGTGACCTTTCCTCACTACAATCTCTACATCACACAAACAAGTTCTTTTTCATGTATTCTCGAACTGCTCTTTTGACCAGGATCGTTTCTGAGGCTTCATTATGGTACAGGCTCCACTAGATCATCTGTATAACTGTGCGCAACGAATAACCACTGTATATCAATCGTATGCTTCCTTCCCATGTCCAGAACCACTAAGTGGTATGTTA